CGTAAACGTGAGTTTAAGTGACTGAACTAAAACGGATGGAAGGCTACGTCTTTTGAAACTTCGATCACAGTAAAACCCATTCCTTCCACACAATATAAGGATCTTATTATTTTTTACAATTTATCACTTCCAGTCAATATAGCTTTGTTAAAGACACACATAGATGGAAATTTATTTTAAACATGATTTTTTAAAAAACCAATGGCCTCTGCTGCTAAATAATCATGCATACAAGTTATTCCAAGGAGAAACACGTGTATTATTGAATACATTTATTTAAAGTAAATGGTTTGAACCCGGGAATATCGTTATATGTTTGTAATTGGTGATCGTCCATGTTAATAAAGTCCTGAGAAGGACTGTTTTTGTTGTTGTTTTTTTTGTTTCGACAACCTTAGCGGTAGTCATCTTATGAGTCAAATGAGGAGTAAACGTCAGGTTAGCCGTATTTTTTATCTGTTATCTATCACGTACGAATTTGATCCCTAATCCACTCATTGACAAATAGTCAACCATATTTTTTGCCACATGATCTACGTTAAGGTTTGAAACTAAATTTTCTTATTGCACAAATTATCTGTTCGAAAGTAATCAGCTCTGCAACGCTGTGCATGGAAGAATAAAAATTCTTATTTACGGAAATCGAAAAATTTTAGCACACGTTTTGTGTATTTGCATAGTTTAATGACCTAAATATTTGAAGTGTCTTAAACGGTGTGTTTTCAAAAAATGCATTAGCTTTTGTCATTAGAAATTAAAGTTATACAGTCATACTAAAATTGCCAAGTTGGTGTTTTTAAGAAAATTTACTACAAAGGATTCTTGCAATTGCAACAATTGCCAAACTTACCTGCTCCTTTATTTTTCAATGCAATTTTTTTCAGTCCTCCTAATGTAAAAATACCAACTTTTTTAAAAAAAACTAAATAAAAACAACGATCTGGAATTGAAATAGAAGGAATAAAACTTGAGGTCTAGTTACACTACTGATTGCAGCAGTAACTGTTTTTAGAGACGTGTCCACTTATTAAAGATGTTGTTTTTGAAACAACATACCCTTCTCCATTGTCTTGTTCAATGAAATGTTTACAAGATCCCTTCTGCTCCGGAATGAACGTCCAAGATGAGAAGAAGATTGGAGATATCAATTGCCAGTTGACATATAAAAGACCAGAACACAATGAAAACTGCAAAGACAAGACCTGGAAGTTTTACAAATTACTTAATCCCCAAAGAAAGGTATTGAATTTCAAAGGCATTCTTATTTGAAATTTTCCATGTAATTTGATTTCACTAATATTTAAATTTTGAAAATATTTCATATGGATTCACATGAAATTTGATATATGTCATGGCATAAAATTACAATATACGCATAATATAAAAGTTTAACTAATGGTTCTAGATTTTTCGTGAATTCCAAGCAAATTGCACCATGCTTATTTGGTGAATGTTTTATTTGATGAAATCTATTTTGTAAAACAAAATTTACGGATATAGTTATTTTGTATCTTCTAGTTCATTACAGTGTAATAATTAATATAACAGGTTTTATATTAGCCAAGCACTAACTAACAACACTAACTACCAATTATAATTAATCAATCATAACGGAGAGTTATTTTATATCTTCTTATGTCCAGCTGTTTTTATTACATAAACAAATAATTTTTACTTTATTTATTGCACGATAAGATATATCCAATTGCCATATTAGAAAATTTAAATTTTTGTCTGGATATTAATTTACTTTGATCGATTTACACAATTATAAAAAAGAAAAATCAGTCTCTGCTTGTAATTAGCAGTACACAGTAAAAGTTGTAGAATCATCGTAATTTTTAATCTCAGCAAATTAGTCAAGAAATTTATTGTGTAAGACAGTTGGTATGTCATATGTTTTACTAATGGGAATCCTTTTTATTACTTCATTGTTTACCATCGTAACCTTGTTTTGCTTGCTGATAGCTCCTTGACTGATTCTTATTTGAAATTTTGTGGTAGTAAGCTGATATATTATAGCATAATTTGTCTCACTAATCATAGTAGGTGTCTCCGTTCTTTGTCTTGGATGGATTAAAGTGACTAGTTTTGTCCATAGTGCTGTCGTTCAGGAGGGATTGTAATCACATCTCCCCAAAATTGGCTTGCCTGATCATTTTGATTATCAGCAGAAGTGACCTTTTTAGTCTGTTTGTACATGTAATAGCATGGTTTCGAGTGCAATTTGGAAAAAAGGTGCACGAGTGAATTTTTCAAAGACTATCAAGAAGTGGATGTTTTTTTAATTGAACGAGAAACCATGATATTACATTATAATAATGTAATTGGCTTTTAACTTCAGCGTACGTACCTTTTAGCCGGCTCGCCATTAATATCGACCGGCTCGTATATTTCAATTTCGTCAGATATTACTTTTCACAACACCATAGTTTCCACACACACCGCTAAAATTTATTTGCCAACTCCCCAGAAAGGACTTTTCTGCGAACTATTACAAGTTTAAAAACTATGCAAAAAAAAAGTACTAGATCACAAAAAGTTATTTCAGATAATTTGCATGCAAAATATTATAAATAATACAAAGTTTCACCATAATTAAGTTAAGAATCTAAAAATTTGTCATTAAAATCATCTCAAATTCCTTTTTCAAAATTAATAAATTGTCTTTATGGATATTATCATTAATAATATATTTCCACAGATCAATAGCTTTAACTAAAAAGGATCGTGAATGGGGATGTTCCACAGAGTGGCTGTTTTAATTTACCGGATGATTGAAATCTGGTATTATATCTATGTGTTTGCTCACAAATAATAAAGTCTTGGAACACAATTAGGACGGTGCCTACCCGTTCAAACATTTTTAAGTCATATAAGCGTCATTTATTATCAACTTATCAGATACTCTTATCTTTAAGACACCTTGCCAAAATTTTGGAAACTTAGTTTTCGATTTAAGACCCGATCCTGGTGTAAATCATTACAAGTGCAAATGTCAGCCTGGTTTTACTGGAGAATTTTGTGAAAGTGGAAGTTGTAAGTTTTAAAGATTATATTTTACGAAAAAGCATACCATTGCTAATTGACACAAAAAGATAAATGATTTAGTTGAGTTTAGTATGTATCTTAAAATCCATTAACCATAGACAAAAAACAATAGGCAAACAGAAATACTGATGTTTATCTAAATTATGACGCCTATTAACATTATTTTAATGAAAAAAATATGAATGAAAAACATGCTCTCCATTGTGTTATAGTAAAATATAATCAAACGATTAAACATATTATACTGAATATTTTTAGTCCCCGTATCATGCAAAGAAGCTATGAAAGATACCAGGTAACTATGAACAGCATCCATGACAAATCATAAAAAGTATGCTTCAATTTTAAAATATCTAATAAAAATTTTTGCGAAGTTGTTAAATTTTTTTAAATTTAGTAAACAAATTTAAAATGCGCAATATTCATATCGATTTAGCACATTGCCCCATTGTCACTCTATTCAATATTTTTGCTGGTAAACATCTCTTGCTAACTGCTTGTGTGCATTGAGTTGCACAAAAAATTCATATTGATAGTTTACTGAAAGTAATAATTTAAAGCAAAATAAACTATTGCATCATAGGAATCACATTGACATTGGTTTATAATTTTGTCAATAAAACTTAATTATTACTCTGTCATTAAAACATTTCTAAAAAATTTAAATACTTTTTTTTTGTTTTCATCTCCCGATAATTGCAGTTAAATCATTTCACCGATTATAGATTAGGAAGTAAGCATAAGGCCTTTAACTGTGAAAAAAATAAATTACAGTTTTAGAACATACAGAAAATATGTTTATGCTATGTCTGCATTTTTTGTTCCTAAAATGTTGTTTATTGAAAAAAAGTTTAAAGGATGGAATGTACTTAATCAAGACAAACACTTCAGAAGGTTACAGCAAAGTGTTTTGTCAAAGAAAAATAACCGGCTGTTCAGGAGAATGCTGGACGCTAGTTATAAAAATAGACGGGAAAAAGGTATGAGTGAATATTTTTTAGCCTTGCTTGTATATATTTTTCACAAAGACGTTTTAAATAAAAATATTTAAAAATATTAACTTGTACGACAACATCATGTGATTTTATGTATTTTAAGTAGCAAAAACATACTCTACTTCGAAGTTTCATGTTTTTCATCAATTTTTTTCACAATATGTTGTCTGTCATTTTTGCATTGACGTCATATGATGCAATTTATATAGCATTTGATGAAATGACTCGCCGTTTAAGAGAAAAAGGAGAGAGATTTGCCCTTCTGATCTTAAACGAGCTACTAAGATACAAGAGAAAACTAATCACATTGCGAACATTACCGAATCACAAACCACAACATTGACTGGGACTCGGCAAAATGCATTACTCACAGTACTGACAATAGACAAGGGCTTACATTAGAAAGTTGATATGCCAACTTGGAGCAAACCCCTAAACAGATCACAGCAATTACCGGCACCTTACATTCACAATACAAACAAACGATCAACTAAAAACATTAAACTTCACACTATTCACAATGACAATACACAATTGACACCCACACATTACAACTAAAAACCTCACACCTAAATCACACTTCACAACTAAAAGCATTTAACTTTACACTAATTCACAATTACAATATACATTTCCTGTACACACAATACAATGATGTAAGAACCAGATAATAAATACAGCTAACCTGACGTTTACTCCTCATTTGACTCTGAAGATAACTACCGCTAAAAGCAATCTTACCATCACAGTATTAGTATCAAGATGACAAAATAAGTTTATTTTTTTTTATTATATTTTCGTAAATGCCACTTTCCTTGTAAAATTTTAAATTTCAAATACTAATTTTCATTATGCAGAAAGTAAACGCTATTTTTATATATTTTGCTTTCGTTCATGAGGCATGTTAAGTTATAAATATTAGAGCAATAACATGTTAACTAAAATTAAATTTAGGAAACGTTTCAATATAATTCATCACTTTGGAGCAACAAAAAGAGTTATATGATTGAAAATGGTGAAACTGGATTAGATGATCTTGAAACAAAACTTCCTACTTACTGGAGCACTAAAATAAAGATGTGTGTTGGAATGAAAGTAAACAGTACAATAAAATTCATAAGTTTTGAAATGCAAGCTGAGTCCTTATACGACCTCATTGCTGACGGAAAATATAGGAAAACCGATTTGAGTCGTAGCCAATGGTTGACATTAGTTAAAAACAGCTTCCTTCAACAATACTGCGATAAAGAAGGCTTTAACGTCGTTGGAGAAGATAGTAACGCTGCTCGTGTAAAGCTTGGCATTTTGGGAAATAATGAAAACGACTGTATTTCAACTAACTCATTCGTTGGGTTTGGTGGATCTTATGGATGTAAAATTTGCGGCGTGATCAGCTGTGGTAATTTTTATGCTTGGAATGATGACAAACAAGTTCGAGCAATGGGATATATTTTTATTGCTTAGTTGTTGCATTAAAGGCATTGCTTGATATTTTTATTTTTTGATTTTGTTCATTCTTTTAGAAATACTGGTCTGAATAAAGACTGAATTAACTAAAATAGAAAATTCACGATTTATAGTCAATACGTTTAACGCTGTAAAAGTTATACATCATTAATATACAGAAAAAAAATCTTGAAGCCCAAGATGCTGCTGTAAAAGTCACTATGCAATTTTACAAAAAAATAACATGAGCCGTCTTTTTTTTCACGCACAGTAGCAAAGAAAACAATATTGATCAAAACTCCGTTTAAAAGTGGTCTTTTTCCAACGACAGCTAAGATGAAAAGTTTAATAAAAACAATATTCAAAGGTGGTCTTTTACAATAAACTGAAATGCAATTAAAATCGTGCCCATCAGTGTATATTATAGTTTGTATTATATTACATATGAATATATAATAAGTGCTGTATAAGTAATATATAAAATGTGCTGTAAATTTTTGCTTTACATCTTTTTTATATTATACTAATCAAATAAATCACCATTCCACACACGCAATATATTAGTTGCTACTCACAATAGTGACTTTAAATAGAATTAAATGCACTATGACTGATATATATATTAAAACTTTACATTTAAACTATGGCTTGCTTTCATTGGTAGACTCATAGGGTAAAAAAACAGGTAAATTTTTGTAGTCAGTACGTGTAACTTTTTTACAGATGTACAGATTTCATGCATATTCATTTACAATTGGTAATTGGATTATAGCTTTCACTTTTATGACTTACCTCAGACACCGGCAATGGTATGCCCCATCAAGAAATTCAAAGGAGTGTCTCTAATAGTTAATTACATAATTTAAGACAAATGTTTCATATGCGTGTTAAAATTTTAGTATACTTCTATACATGTGAAACAGCAAATTTTTAACTCGAGCGATTTTGTGTAGATGATATTATTGTTAACATGAAGTTCCTCGTGAAAGCAAGATATGGCAAGAGAAAAAAGCTTTCTTTGGAACACTAGAATCGATATTTTCCCAGAACAACTGCTGATGTATCATTTAATCATCTTTTTTTCGCAAATATTTGTTGGAATAGTAAGATTCGTTCAATTTTTTTTTTGGATAGGGATTGTCACAAATCAGCAATCTGAGATTTAAGTTTTGAGTTGTTTTTGATTAATATTATTTGAAGGCTTATAAATACAGTGCAATGTAATTAAGAATATTTGCAATAGCCATACACAATATGAAAATAGTGTTTGTATATAATAATATTTGTACATTTGAATAATCAAGGCACTTGCTATCCAAGTTGAAAAATAAAAATTGAAGGGCTCATTTTACGTGATGCAGAAAGGTTCAAAGCAAAATGATACATCCAACTTTATGTGAGCGTTTTTAAATTGTTCATACTTTACAAAAATTATCTGAAAAACAATTACAATTTTCCTACGCTATGGGCACTATTTACATATGATGACGACATGTAAACACTGCTATCTTTATATTTCCTTTCGCCACTGTAACGGTAGCACAAAGCAATTGTTGCAGCAAAAAATAATATGACCAAAACCGGTATACCAACAACGATCAGATAGAACTCCCAATCTTTTTGGTCTAAAAAATTAAGTGAAAACTCACTGTTAAAAAGTAATTGAGTCTTTGGTTTTTGATTAAAATGTAGCATAGAAAAATTTTAACAGAGTTAATTCCTCAATCAATGCTAAACATGTTAGCAACATAGACTTCTTAGTTTGAAAATTTTGAATTCTGCAATTACAACATAAATCATGAAATGCAGTTGAATTACTCGAAGCTATAAAATGCCTAGTCAAGCCAAAGCTTATAAATTTGACAAAAATTGCAAGCAAAGAAATAGTTATAATTCCTTTTTCTCGATGCATACTCGTTAAAGTGAATGGATTAAACACAGTAGTATCATATTATATGTTTGTCATTGTGGATCGTTCAGACTAGTAGAGTCTTGAGAAAGAATGCTGATGTTTATATAGACTAACAATTTGACAAAAAAATCTTTTTTAGAGTCAGGTGAAGAGTAAATATTACGTTAACCGTATTTGTAGTCCGGTTCAACCTCCGGAAAGTGAAGCCTGGATTGCTAAGTTTAATCTGTGACCATGAAAGTGCACGTAGAATGCTTGTAATCTCCCTTCTCTCGAATGTCCTTGTAGGTAACATAATTCAATTTTTGTTTCTTCAAGGGGCGGAGGCAGAGTTAATTTCCTGCAGCTATTTTGTGCATGATTTCATTAATATTAAGGACTCAAGCCCCCTTTTGGGTGGAGAACAAAAGCAATTTTGAAGTTCCATTTTTTGTAGAGACATTCTAGATAATGGAATTCTAACCAAAACTGAGAAGCCTTTCTACAGATCTCTTAATAGCTCCATCATGGTGGGACTAAGAAAGCATTACTTCAGATGAATTTCAGTTTGCTGTCTTCTTAAAATCGTGTTCATGTTAATGTTCAAATTGTTGTACCTACCACTTTTACAAGCCTTGTACTGATACTCTCCATTAAGATGACGACATTGTTCTCTTATAGAGCAAACTCGTTTCCTCTGTCTTGTGGCATTGCCGTATCTCCAAAAACAAGCACTCCATTTACTCCACTGTTTATAAGAATCTGAAAAACATTGATGAAATTCTTAAGTCAAATAAACAGTAGAAACCATAACTCGATAAAAAATGCAGAGCTAAACAGCTAGATTTTACTCATTTTATCCCGTTTAGAGGTAGTAAATAAAAGTTACTTTGCAAGCATTTAAAATTTTTTTATGGAATTCCTAGTGGCCTGAATAAGTAGGGTGCTTTTGTTGCTCGTTTCTCATAATGTCCATCTGTTAAACTCTAATGCTGGGAATCATATGCATAATTGAATACTCTCTGGCATGATTTTATATGATTTTACAAACTATTTACAAACTATTTATACTATAAACATTCTCATTGCACATTTCTAAAGATCAATGTGCCTCTTAAAGAATGAAGAGTGAAATAAAAAATCTACAAATACACATGCACAATCTTCAGATTGCTTTCCTAAAAATAATGGTGTTCCTTAAGAATAAGGTTTGAAAGAAAAATAAATCAATAAAGATAAGGAAGAAATTTTCAAGAAGAGGTTACAGCAACAATTAAGATTGAAGTAAAGGAAAAAATGAGTGGCATTTGGAAGCATTGCATCAAAATGGAAGCTTCGCTTTTTATTTGAAAGATTAGAGCAAATTTCATAACTAAAATGTTTAATAATTTTTGGAGAGTCAAATGAGTAGAGCTTGCATGGAATAGGAGTTTGCTAGTCACAGTTTATAACAACAAAGTTATTATAAAAGAGTGTTTTAATAATGGAGGAATAAAATTAAAGACACCTACAAATTCAAAATGTGTGAAAAATTTGTTGGATAAAAGCCGAGTAAAGAAGTGAACATAGACAATTTACAGTCTGCGTTTGAAGATGCTCCTTCAAAAATTGAAAAAATGAAGAAAAGTTGCATCGTGTGTTTTAGACTTAGAAAAAGCTTATAATAAGGCTTATAATCTGGAATTTTAGAAAGATGTATGACAGCAGTACATTACTTGTACAAATATGCGAAAACAATCGGATGAGCATTTAGGATGGTCGAAGTTTTTAATGTAGCTAAAGCACGTCCACAAGTTTAAAATGGTCAAAGAAAAGAGAGAGTATATGCAAGTAGATATCAGGAAGAATAAATATGTTGTGAAAATACAGTGACGGGCTGAGAGCAACTTCTCCAGGAGGACCAGTCCTTTACCACTGAAAACGCATCTTAAAAATACAAAACGTGGGCCAAACGGTCATACGCTTTATCAAATTGGAAGACAGCTCAAAGGCTTATTGCGGAATCGTTTATGCCTACTGAAATTGCAGACATTGCGTACAAGAGCAAAAATGAAAATTTTAAACATGAAATAATATTTTGACGTAGTTTTATCGTTCCCAAAAGTAAAACAAAGATTATTTCCACTTACTGCATAATCCAGTTACAATAAACCCAGGTTGGGCAACACCTTGACAATTTATACATGTGGAATTGTCCCCTCCACAAACACCACAATAGTCTGTTTTATTTGTACTGTTCTGAATACCGTCACAACCAAAGTAAAGTGGAACAGATGCTAAAACGATAAAAACGATGTACATATATAAAAAAAGAAACAAGCTAAAACTTGTACAAACTATACAATCTAAAATTTCTAAAAGCTAGTAGCATAACTCTGTGAGTTTTTAGGCCCGATGCATTTCGATAGAAATAATCTATACTAAAATAACGTGCTAGTTGTAAAACTGCTCATATTTTAAGTAGCATTTGCTCATTCAAACAAAAATGTAATTAAATATTGGCAGAACTCTTTAAAATTGCCTGCTGACTTAATAATTTTTGCCTTTCAAGACACTGACGATTTCGAATCATTGCCAAAATCTAAAAAACTCAGGGATAGCATGTGATCAAAATAAATCTGTGATAAAAAGTGCGGAAGCTTGTTGATTTATGCACAAAAACTAAAAGTTTTAACAGTACGGTAAAGTGCCTCGCAGAAAAAGTTGGAGTTTTTAAAAGTTATCATATACTTTATACATACCCAATTTTGAGTTGTTAATAGTTTTTTCTAGCTCTGTAAATGATTGTAAAGTAATAAGACCAATAGCTGCATTTCCTGTAACAGCAGCGTCAAACAAACATTCTTTATTTTGCTGACATATACGTGTTGTTTCATTCTTCAAAGTTTCGTTCATGGAAAGTAAGGAATTTGTCTCATTCAAAAAGTAAGGTTTAAAGTTGTCATCCGTAAACGTGTCATAACTCTTCCCGTAACGATAATTGAACAGACTTTTGCTTTTATTGACCTTCCCTGCAATCAAATAACACACCTAAGATATAGTTTTTCAAAAAATGTGTTTATAATTGGAAAAACTTGTTTTTCTTTCAGTTTCAAGATTATAAAAGACTTAATAAAATCCTTTCTCAACGAAAACCTTAACAAATGTTAACAATGAATTAGTTGGAATCTTGTTACACTTGCGTAAGGTACAATTTATACTTTTTTAGTCATATCATCCACAAGTTCAAGATACGACAATTGAAACTATCAGTTATTAAGCAGCTCAAAAGTCCGGTATGAAATAAAGAAAAAGAATGTCTGGTTTCACTGAATAAATCATTATATAAAGCAAACTTCTTTGAGCAATTTTAAAACTTCAAATTTGGCATTGAAACCAATGTATAGTAAGAGAAATTTCACAATTTTTTACGTTTTTCCCTAGGAGGCAAGAATTCAGAAATTTAATAAATCTAGCATGAAAGAAACTCCTTCGTTTGTTTTATAGCCAGAAAACATGTAAGCTTATTTTCACGTCAATGTTATAAGAATGCTGTGATGAAAAATTCATATACACAGAGTTTTAACAATTATTCGAGGAAAGCAGATCACAAAGAAAGACAATACATAAATTTCATCGATATGTCTTAATGAAACGACTCAATTCCCAAGCAGCCTTCGCTATAAAGCCTCAGACAACAAAGAGCTATTATTAGCAGCAAATTACTTCTCAACTAATGGAGAAAGAAAAAACCCCAGCAGTATTGAAACATGCTTTTCGACAGTAGTGTTTTCTTCAAGTTCAATTGAACCAAAACCACATCTTTGCAAAAACATGCATTTCTTAGCATTTCAAGACCACTGACTTCCTGGAATACAATAGAAAGTTTACAATTGGAGGAGTCACAATTATAACGTTAAAATAATAAGCCGTTAGATCTTTCGTACTAACGGGAAAATTCTTCGAAAATTCAAATAGACTAGTGGCTCATAGAAAAGTCTTGCCAGCACTTGCTCTTCTGATTTTTCAAGTATTTTTATAACAACACACAATATAGTGGAATTGAAAGAAGTGAAAACTTACACATGTAATTGAAATCTTTGTGTATTTGTTTATTATTGAAATCTCCATTTGGCAATTTAGCAACTGCTAAAATTCCAAGAAGACCAGTAAGTTTATCTGAAAATAAAGTAAAAGAGCTAAATGTAGATCAAACAAAACAAATACTTCCAATAAAAAAAAAAATTCATTTATCTATGCACCAAAAGGTTTTTCAAAACAAGAAAATTTAAGAAAGCCATAACGTCGATTAGATCTCAAAACAAGTGATTTTTTATGTGGAATCTAACTTTAATATAAGCTATCTCATATGATTTTTCAAACAGGTCTGCATCAAAAACCCTCCAGATACCTTCAAACTTTTTTGGCACTGAAACTTGACAAGACAGGAAGTCTTCAAATGATTGAGCATTTACAGACACTCCTGAAATAAAGTAGACACCAATCTTTGCACGATTATACCTAATAAGAACTACATTTTTAAAGTCCAATCTTGTTTGCTCATCAAATTCAACTCTTTCATTGTTAATATAGACAGCAAAGCTTTTTCCTTTGTTAAACTCAACCTAAAAGAACAAACAATGAAAATATTGATAAATGATAGTTTCAATAATTAGTCGAAGATTTAGGTGGTAAGGTAGTTTTTTTCATAGGAAAAAAACCTGAATTTAGTGTATAACAGTTTCAAAAACCTAAAAAAAGAAACAATTTTCTAAAATACAGATTAAAAATTTTTTATAGAAAAAAATATTAGACACAAATTTTGTAAAAAATGATTACTTGTACTGTATCACTTTCCATATTTTTAAGAGCAAATGCTTTCAGGGCCGTAGCTTTGGTTTTTTCTAAGCCTTTCATTAACGGTGTCATCCTCCCTTGAAATTCAATGTCTGTGCCATTGTTTATTTGTAAAAGAGTGTATTCCCCATGACCATTAAACGTGAATTTTATGCCATTAAAAGTAGTAAAGTGAGGATCCCCTCTTGTGGCACCTAATAACATATAAAATTTTCTATATCTGTTGAAAAATAAGAAACAGTTTAAATATTGCTTGTGGTCTTACATAAATCTTTTTTTACTGAGAAAATGACAATAAAAGAAAAAAGGGATTGTTAGCTATTGTCATTGGCTTCCGTTACTTGTAAGAGCGAATATGTGGAATTTTTTTTGCACAATTAGAAATATTTCAGTTCTGTTTTGATGAATTAATCCTTCAAATACTTTAGAAAAACACTGTTTGTGTTATAAAAAAAACAAGACTAAATCATTCTAAATCTACTATTTTGAGCTTCATGGAAAAAACTTACTTTCCAAACATTTCCTAAAATTTTTTCACAAAATTGTTAGTAGTTGATCACTTCTTAGCAATGTATTCCGTTGGAAAAAATGTTTTAGAGATAAATCTCATTACATATTTGAAAGATTTCTGAAATATTGTTTTATCCGTTTCTCCATCAAGAAATTAAAATGTTTTGTTAAAAATGGAAATCTCACGCTAATTATCCTCTTACATAAAATTACAAATCACAAACGACCATCAAACTCATACATTAGCGTGTGGTTTTTATAAGCTAAAACATTTAATTTTTCCAGATTATACTTACCAAATAAAAGGGGGCGATAATGCTTGCCGTTATCTGAAGGACGCCTTTGATAATATTTAGCACAATGGAAAATTGAAGTTTTACAGCAAGCAAACCAAGGTAACACATCTTCTTTGAAATGATTCCATAAATTCATTTCAGGAGATGCAAAATTCATAGTTCCTCCCCACGGAGGTCCTACTATTAGTGAACCTTTAGTGCTGTAGCAACATTGTTGACCACCACCTGATGGGCTACGATAAAAATCAACCTGATTAATTTGATTACAATCTTTTCCATGTTCATATAACAACACATATGGAAAATATGATCACGCTTTAATAACTCAGTTAATATTGCTTTGATGTTACATAGCTTTTGCATAATAAATTTGAGGTGAAACTCCATGTATACAGTTTTTTAATTTGTTTTGCTTTAAATACTTTAAAACCCTATGAAATCTCAAAGGTAGAGAACTGTCAAGTTTATTAAGCTATTTTAAATGATAGTGATATTATTGCGCATTATTATGTCAAAGAATTCATAATCAATATATGGGGGTTCCGTTTTTGCGACACCCTGTATAACTGGCACAAAATCATTTGCAGCTTTTAAAACTTTAAAATTACCTTGAGTAATGCAAATCGATATTTATGTTTTTATCTTTGTGTGGGATCCTTGTAACTTATGTCGCTTTTTGTATTATTGCTGTTATTTACACCTTATCTCATTTTTTTTCACAAATAACTTACACATATAACATTCATAAGTGCTCACAACAACATCATGACGATGTAAATAATCAACATGTCTTTAGTGAAGACGTTTTTTTGTTTAGTTCACACATTTCAAATATAAATTTTTTTAGAGGAAGAACAAGGCATAACTGAATTCGGTTTAAGAGGCTATTTTATTATGGTTATAGCTCAACATCTTTTCACGATAGACTGACTGAGGAGAGTTAAAAAAGTTCATTTAGAGCTTACTTACATTTTTTGTTACATTGAAAGTAATATACGGTATTAGAAAATTCAAATAGGTATTTTTATCTACGTGTTGTATTGAATGCAACATATATATACAGATTGCATAAAAGACTGGACAGTTTGGAATATATTTGAAATGTCATTAGCGCGCAAAACTTGTAAAAATCGGTAGTTGAGTGCCAATGTCTCATCTGGCAGTAAAATTGTCACAAAAGATAAATATTTTAAAGCTAAACATTGCGTTACCGAAGCTTTCTTTTAAACTAGCTTGAGCACAAAAATGACACGAAATGCAATTAGAAGACTTAGTGCTAAAATATCGCACATTTTGCTCAAGCTAACAAAGCTCTGGGAATTACGCAAACGCTCGGATTTCAAATAACGAGCTTATTTTGGATTTTTTGTTTCTAAATGCAGTTTTGTAATTATAAGTACTAATTATGCTTAAAGTTGTGATATAAAATGTATAAAATATAGATGAAAATTGACATTATTTTTTGATTACCTGGGAACTTTTGATCGAAAACAAAATGTATTATGAGGATAAGAAATATTGGTGAGTTGTCTTTTAGCACTGGAGTCTTCCATGAATCGCTGATCAGCAGTGACTTGTTGTAAACTTGTCGGGCATGGAGTAAGCTCTTCTATATAGTTAAAGAAATAAATGATTGGAAATTTGCTTACTTATTCAAAAGGAGAATAGTATATTAAAAGCGTATATTATTATAGGGAAATAGTATATTATTATATTTAATATAATCTTCCTTTATTAAACAACACACTACATTAACGTAATGAATTAAGGAGAAATATGTAAAGAAAATCAAAGCATTAAATTAAACCGCTTATTGTAGCTAATAAGCAAAATATAATTCTAAATTTAAATAGCCATAGCCAAAAATTTAGTCTTAATATACATGGCATACGCATCATTCGCATACCTTGTAAATTTCTTGTTTTATTCATATTTAAAAGAGCATGCCATTGTCGGCAGTACGTTTCATTTGCAGCATAAGGCAATAAAAAAAGAGAGCTAAAAAGACGAGTTGATTCATTCTTGTTGTACGACGCACTTATTCTTACGATTCCAATAGAACTGCCAGGATTTCTCTCACTGAAAGTAAAATTAACTGCATCTTGATAAGTTTCTATGAGAAGTTATACTATTTCGTCTAGATACTTTTAAGTCTTCCTTAAAAATAATTGTATTAAGCTCAACTAGGTAAGTTTGCCACATTGTAAATTTCCAATATTTTTTCTTTCGTTTATTTTTTTTAGAATTGATGATTGCAGACATAACTGCTTATAAAAAATCTCGTACTTTCTATGCTTCCGACTGTAAATCCCGATCAATAAAGATTTAAAGCTAACAAAATATTACGTAAGACAAAACATTGCTTACCTTGAGATGTTAAAAACTACTTCATAACTGCCGTTGTTAGAAACATTTTTAAAAGAAGCTAAAGCATCTTGATGGAGAACAAATTTAGAAGAATTGAATATAAAAAGTTCGATGTCTAAACGTAATGCATCGAAGTTCTTTTTATTCCATGTCAAGTTTGTCTTTGTTAAAGATGCCCAATTCTTCACTTCCAATCCTTTTACATCTGGAGGATTTCTTCCAATTGGAACTAAATTAAGAGCAAGCTACACAATATACACTAAGAAGGAATGGTCTAGAAGAAAAGACATTTTAATACGACATGAGAATAATCAATATGATTTTCTAAAGGTAACAAATGATATTTCTAACTGATATACTTTAATATCTTGTTTTTAATAGTCTTTGCTTCTATTTATGTTTTAACTTGTTCTAGTTTGTATTTGTATATTTTTATATTTTTTATTCATATATATTTTATTACTTTTTACAGGGCATGTTTTAAATCTTTGTTTTTATAACACTGAAATAATTTCATCCTCTAAAACTATTAATAAAACCAATAATATTGGCTGTTGTGGGATGCAATTAATAGTATTAATAGTAATAAGAGGCATCCTTTAAGAACATTAGTGAAAATAAACAAATTTACACTGTAGAGCACTAAAAATGACGGCTGCAGTTCCAAATTTTTGAACTTACTTGACCTGAAGTTTCCATTAAAAGTATATGTTATTCCTCCATCTAAAGACAACTCCACAGGAATCCTGCCAGCAACATAGAGTGGTGGTGTGATACAAAAGGCTGCATATTGACTAATGTATTTAGCTGTCGTCTGGAGAGTTTTATTAAAACGACAGATGATATTATTTGTTGGACTAAAGCATGGTCCGCCTAAAAAGACTTTTGTTCCTCCTAATTGAATTCCCGATCTTGGTGACAGCACTAAATCTAAAAATTAAACAAGCTGTCTTATACACTTGCAAATACGTCTGTAGATGTAGAACGTCAAGGTTGGTATAGTCCTGAGAAGGACTGTTTTTGCTGTTGTTTACTGACGTTTCGAAAACCTAGCGGTAGTCATCTTGCGCGTCAAAAAAAATGACTTACAAATAGATGTACAATCAAATGACAAACGGCATTTTAATAAAAAAAAAACTTTCTTTTCTTTCTATATTGAGTAAACCAAAATCTATATATATATATATATACTCAAAATTTTCAAAGGTAATTTGTGTAAGCCACATACTTGTTGATAAACCGCAACCATTATTTTCAATAGTTTCGCCATCAACTTGAAACAACCAAAAGCCAGAAATATTGTAATTGGATGTTGCAGTAATGTTGATAATAGCTGGCGTACCAGAATTTGGAATGTTAAATGATCGATTACCATCACCTGCATTGAAACCAACCTGAAAGAAATTTCGAAAGGTTATTATGTTATTGAATCATTGTTTTGATAGTATACTTAATCAAATTATTTAGCAAAAACCATCAAACTTACTTGCGCATGAAGATGATCGCTATTAGGGCGTTTTGTCCAGCCAATATGATTATAGAGGAATATTGAAAACGCGTGAACCCCATCAGTGGCCAAAATGGTTTGAAATGTGTTCTACATAAAACAACACAACTTTTAAGGCAAAAACAGTTGCTAAAAACATATTGTAAATTGATGCAACTGCTATGCATACGTGAAGGTAATTGAAAAAAAATTGTTTTACTTGTTTCATCTTTAACCTTTCAAATTGCGTTACTAATACATGTTCAAACGTAAAGCTCAGCTGAAAATTGTAATTACTTGCAATATCGTATCATATTTGTGCATTTGAGTTTTGTTTTTCCTTTTCTTACAAGCAACTATCTACAGCCGTTCATCTATATGTACATGTTGAAATAAGTAAATTTTACCAAATAATGAATGCATGACGTGACAATTTTGTTTTAAACATAGCAAAGCCAAATTCTTTTTTTATACTATTAAAAATATAAAGTGATCAAAAATTTCTCCGAAAAAAAGAAAAGTAAAAATTACAGTAGCTATAATCATGACTCTTATCTTTAGAAGTCTGTTGTTTTGCATTTAAAAAACATTGAGGAAATTGAATGCCGACAGGCTACATCACTAATTTTCTATTTCATGACATCACAACTGAATTGCCTTTTAAGAAGATTCTTTGCTGGACATTTAAATTATGAACGTGTCAGGTGATTTAACTGATCGTTTGAACGGTTCGATCAACTGAGATTTGGCATTAGTAGAGCATTTTTTCTCGTGAAGGAAATGTCATGTGATTCCTGACATTCCTTCACATGACATTCCTTTCACGAGAAAACATGAGCCCAACAAAAATGACCTGCTCTCCACTGTGTGACTTCATAGCTCAGTTGGTCAGAGCACTGCACCGGCACCGCAGACGTCATGGGTTCGAATCCAGTTAAGTCACCAGAATTTTTCACGTTCATGAGACAATTGCTTAAATTGTCCAGCAAACTGCGAAGATCATATCTTCATTTAATTTCAAACACCGCACTGCATATAACAATCTTTCAAATGAATCTGCCTTTGCTAAAAAATTTTAATGGTGCATGTACTTGGCACTTGAAAGTAACTTGAAAGTAGAAAGCTACATATATGGAAACGCAATCTTTATGTTGACAAACTATACAATCATGCCAATCAAAAGCCGACAAAAAGATACATTAGCTAGCTGCTTTGGTAAATTATTTTTACGTACATTTATACGAGAATCATCACCGACACTGGGAACATTTGACCATGTCGCAATAAAGACCCATTTTGCCATGAAATTTCTATGACGGACGAAAAAGCTTTGAATATCTTGAGAAATGTTTTTCAGAATATCAGGCTCTTGACTTGTTCTATAAAAGATAGAGCCTCCTTTTCCGGTGTCGACATCCGCCCAGAAAGGTACTATTAAACTACGTTTATCACCAGGAAAAGTTAGTGATAAAACTTTGAGCTTTCTTCATGGAAAGATATCGCTCCATTTGTAAGTACCTAAGAATGTAAGCAAAAAAAAATTAAATCAGGACATAAGTTTTACATACTTGACACAATGCGTATCATATTTAAACTGGAACTATGACATTATTTATTTTTTATAAAGGAAAACTTTGTAACACGGAGTGTGTTTTACGCAGAATTTTAAACGAAATTTTTTATTTGGTAACACTTCACCTCAGAAACGTGTTTACATCTATAAAATAATACTAAAGTTAAGTGTTTTCGTGAAGGTTTTGAGATATTTTTTTATATATTTGACAGCTTTTCAATAAAATCAACGTCCTTCGGGGGAGATGCGGCCGGTGAAATTTTGTAAAAAATCGTAGAAAATGAACTGAAATAACCCTTTCTTTGTCTAAAAGTTGTTACAGCCAGCTACTACGCACCTTTTTGGCATCATTGCTTTGAAATTCAACGATAAAAGTGCTTTCACCAACCATTGGTTATTTAAAAAGACATGCTTGTAGATGTGAACAGCGTCACGCTCTAAAACACGCCGTGCAACAATAGGCAAAAAAATTGAACTTAAATGGAAAGTTTAAACCTCTATAAAGAGATAAATAGTCCCTCAAAGTGATTTCTTTTCTTTTTAAAATCACACCACGCATCAAATTTGCTTAAATGAAAGAAAACACGAAGATCATAGTTCCATTTTAAGTTTTATATTGATATGATAAGAACAATCTTGTGACAATCAATAACCAAAAATCAAATGTTTGTATTCTCATCTAATAGCACAATATTTTTATTACGATCACAAGGTTTTAAAAGAGAAAACATTTGTGAAGCTTCAAGATTTATTCTTACAAAACAATTGGAATTAAACGTTAACATTTAATATTTACTTTATTCGCTTCCTGGCTTTAGTTCTTTGACTGCATGTGGCATTTAAGGTAGACATGCGTGCTTCAACCGTTAGAATCCAGAAAAGAAAACAAAAGGGAAAAGTAATAGGGAAAAAACTCAGGTTTAAGCTGCTCTCCGTGTTGAATTATTTTGTGATTGTAGATATTTTTCAATTCTTACAGCAGAATTTGCTGTAATAAAGCAATCTAGCCCCATTTTATTTCCGATCTCCTTCAAACTGTATGTACATGCATAAACTCCACCAATTTCTATTATCTAAGTTTTCACTTTTCTTTTAAATCTTGATGCTTGTCTAATGCATGCTGTCTTATTTGCTTTCAACACAATAAATTATATTATTAGCTATGCCTTCCTTAGCAGTGAAGTGATTTGATTGGAAACAAATAGAACCTGGAACGTAGCGCCTGAACAGATATCCCAACACGCAGTATACGGCTTGTATAGATACTTGTAAATATTAAAATTACAGTAAATGAATATTTAGTCAGTGGACAAGGATGCTAATTTTTTAGCACTATTATGTAAAAATCTTGATAAAAATTACATGAGGTATGAAACTGCATGAGAAAATAATATTCACGTGATAATTCCTTATATTGGTTACAGCAATTCAAACTTTGTTTGAAGAAAAAGCATAATGAATGAATTGAATGTTTTTTGACACAAAATCAAAAATTTCTTTATTCAAGTAACACAAAAATTTCTTTGTCCCTTTGCTGATTTGCATATTCTTAAGAATTTAGAAGCACCTTTTAAATTTTCGAAATTTTTAATATCACCGGAAATTTTTGCAATCGTATTCGCTATGTTATATCAACACAGCTTTCCGCGTACAGAAATAACAAAGTAAACACTATAATTTATACAAGAAATAAATCCTACGTTTTAACACTTGACCATTTGTTCAATTATTAAAGTATAAACGGGCTTATTTATTATTGGTTTACGTTTCTATTTATGTGTTATGCATTACAAATACGTGTTAGGGATATTACTATATAGCTTCGTAAATGATTCTAAAGACAAACAGCATTGATACGTTTTAAAAGATTATATATATTTATAGATAGACAGACAGAAAAACCAACAGAGTCAAACGTTTTATCTAAGTGTTATCAATGATACTTTTGTAGCCATTTGTATTTATCTACAATGTGAACCTTTCACTCATGACATTACTCATGACATTTCAAATAATATATATATATATACTGAACAAAAATAGCAACTATTGATATTTATATTAAGTTATCGATAGTAAATCATCAATACTTACACGCAAGGTGCTACGAGCTTCGTCAAAGAAGAGAAACGAAGGTGAAAGAGATACAATACTTGAGCCGCCATCATCTTCAAATGTATCATTATTCTCAGTTCCATAAGGATAAAGTTTAGCACGCAAATAAACCAAGTGTAAAAGATTACTTAATATGAATAAAAACAACAAACCGTTTACATTCGCCATGTTGTTTTGACGTATGATGCATATTTGTCAGAGGAGACATCAAATACATGCTGTTGAAGCAATTTAAGTAACAAATTTGAATATGAATGCATTTTAACGTCATAGAAATTACGCTTTGAGCGCCATTTTTAATGATTAATTAAGAAATTGAAAGGGTTTAAAGAAAACAAAAAAAAGATCCCAAATATTGGTGGCGTAGCATGCCAGTAAAGCTCTGTGTACACGAGAGTTAAGTGGAATCTAATTCGTGCTTAGTGGCGAAAGCTAGTCGCTCTCGTGCGCGCGTGCTGTTTCCGGCGTCTTTTACCATTCCAGGCAAGACTTGCAAATATCTAACATGTTTGACTCAAATGAGTTAAATTCTGCGTCATTTTCTACTTTTGATAAAGAAGATGAAATAGCACTTTTATACCTGTTGCTAAAACGCAATGCCGTACAGGCCCATACTGAGTGTAATAACAAACACCATTAATTACCTGTTTGAGAAGATTTTTTCGTTATTTCCTCAAAAGCAGACCCTCTATTGTCCAGGTTTCTTTAATCTGCAGCTCAAACATCATATAGGCATTGTTAATCAGGCCAGAGATCAATTAGTTTATGATCTAAAAGTGCTCCTTCGACTAAATCATGTTGTTTTTACGGGGACGCCATTTTGGTTTGATATGAACTTAATGAGCATGCGCTGTGATAGAAACAAAACAGCAAATTGCGTCAAGACGCTGCACACAAACATATCAATGAAGCATTTCGCCACGCGTGTAAAAAATATCAAACAGGTTACATATTCGCCAGTCATGGCGGATTGATTCATTGTACGCCAATTAATTTTCCCTTAATTTTCAATTCAAATTACATTCAGAAAAACACTATTGGTTTTTAATTTCTAAAGATTACAATTTCACCAATAGATTTGCCTCTAAGGTACTTAGAAATATAGTACGCATACAATGTACATGTTAATGTCTTATAAAGACCTCAGCTTTCAATTAACATCAATGGCGTTAAACTATTGTAATGATTGACATGAGTAAATGATCAATTAAGAAATAAAAGATGTTTACTGAGTTTGCACAGGCTTATGCAAACCGAGGAGACCTTTGGGAGAACTCAGGAACTTATCAGTGCAAGCCTGAGACCGAAGGTCGACGGTGGCACATGCTCAGAGTTCTCACAAACGTCTCCAAGGTTTGCATAAGCCAGTGCAAACGCGAAAGACATCCTTTATTTCTTTTATAAAATAAAAACAATGCGAAAAAAGACAAACATTTTAATTTTAATTGATTTGCAAATTTTCTTTGACTGATTGATGTTTTAGATTGACTTGATTGGTTGAGCTCAGATGCGTTTTGCAATGGCTAATGCAAACTTAGCTCTAGACCAATCAGCACACGAGCTTCTTTGTGTTTATTTTATAAAAAATATTGCGATATAACACTAAAAGAAAAACAACAGAAATTTAGGCCTATGGGCTACACAACTTCTTCTTCTGGGAAATTGGCTATCCACTTTAAAACCAGGTAATGCAAAACCGACAGTACATTTTATGTGGTACTGTCCATGGAGCCAAGTTTCAATTGATTTTTGTTGTCCTTTCCAATCTTGTGACTACTTGTCGTCATCCGCGACTAAGCTCGTTATCCCAAAGTGGAAACTTTTCGATCTACCTCAAGTAAATCGCGAACATTCTAAAACTGGATAGAACTTTTGCTACTGAAATATGACAATGGCCCTTCATTTAGTGGTCGCAAAATATACCACAGAAAAAGAATTTGAACACTGCAGAATCACGCCTTTATAGCTAGCTGGTAACAGTGACGCCTAGCGCTTTGTGCGTACGCTGATAAAGGCCATTAAAACAAGTTCAGTGGAGGGAGCAAATTGGAAAAAGATTGCAATATTTCCTTTTCAACTACTGGAAAGTAGACGGCAGAGCAGCTCCTATTTGGCTGCAAAATCAAAACCAAACTACCAGCAAAACAGTTGTTAATACCAGTAGATACAGAAGCTAGTCACAAAACCATGAAGCGAAGAATAAGATGAATATATATATACTGACAAAAAGCAGCAAATAAAGACCAGTAGCATTTGCGTAATGGAGATGGTACTGGTCAAAAAGGAACGAAAGAAAAAGTTCTCTTTGCATTATATTACAAAACAACAATCGTTCCCAAAAAAAAGGTACTATAGTGAGGTACTGTATGTACCAAAACAGATGGGAAAAATAACTAGGAATTCCTCGTATTTCAAAAAATTAACTTAACTCGTAGAACAGAACAGTTTGTAAACGTTCCGAACGACACTGAAAGTTAAGATGAGGACAATAAAACAAATATAGTGTTGTGTTGAGGAAGGCAAAATTTCAATTTAAAATGGAGAAATGTAGTTCTGTTAAATATAACATAAAGAATAGAGGCATTGAGTTGATAGTAAATAACGCTGAAGAATAAAATAAAGATATTACACTTACATTACTCTAAATATTACAATAGTAAATATAAAATACTGATTTCAAAAGAACAAGAGCAAACATGCATGTATGAATATTTCTGACCTCCCCGTTAATACACACCTAAACACAAAGACTTAAGCATCAAAGATGCGTTGACAGTATATTTTAATCACCATAAATCTATGTATTGAAATCCACCAACTCAAATACAACTCAAATACAACTCAAATACAACATGTTTTTTTATGTAATTTGTAAAGATTTCGGGGAATTCAGAGAACATTTTGGGGATGAGAAATTTACAATAGCCTTCGACTCTCAAATTCAAATGATATTCTGAAAATTTACAGAAAGAAATTCACTTAGTTCAGTTTTACTGTCTATCATTGAAACTGAATTTTATTTATGAACGATGGCTCAAACCGTTAATTTTAAAGTAGTTTATGGTTGAAATCACGCATTGTTCAACCGTTAACCATATAAGAACTACTCAGACGCAAATACACGAAATACGTACACAAGTGGGTAGCCTACGTATGCCAAGTGACCTTAAATTTAAGTCGAATAATGAAAATATAACAGTATAGGTATATTTAATATGTATATACGACTTCTTTGATATTTTAAGAATGTGTTTTGTTTTCACTATTTAGTGAAACGAACACGTAGCTTTCCAGCTCATTGTATGTCACGTAATAGTATTTCATTGTACACATTTCATATGTCATATACAGGCTTGTGTCATTTTTTTCTTGTAAAATTGCGCTAAGCTGATGTAATTTTTTTAACAACTCAAATACAACATGTTTTTTTATGTAATTTGTAAAGATTTCGAGGAATTCAAGAATATTTGGGGGACGAGAAACTTACAATAGCCCTTCGACTCACAAATACATATGACATTCTGACAATTTACTGAAAGAAATTCACTTAGTTTAGTTTTACTGTCGAGCATTGAAATTGAATTTTATTTATAAAAATTTTAATGATAGCCAATTTTTCAATTTATTTTCATTATGACACACCTTTAAATTAAATTAACTGCAAACATTCAGAAGTCTCATATTATTAAAGAAGCATTATCACACCACATCCACCCTAAGCAATATATAAATAAAGCTAAAAAATCTATGTTTGAACAAAAATTGATTCATTCTTTATCCTTATCATAAAATTTTTATCCAATTTCCCTCAGCACAAAACTAGTTAACTACTGACTATTTCCATTAGCATTGACTGCTACCAACAAATTGTACATGCGGTTGAACATTATGCATATGAAAAATGCCTTGTATCTTTAACACTCGATAAGCTTCTTTTCTTAACAGCGGTCGTTTCCAAAAAAATATATAATTGAATTAAAGCTTGCGTTAAGAGTAATGCTTGTTGAGTACCAAGAATGGACTATTCTGTATACAAGTTTGTCTGTTTGAATGAAATACAAGCTAAGCACAAGCCCAGGAAGATAACACAGGTAAAAAATGAAAACAACGAAGGCACAAGATCTTGCCAATTTTGACTCTTGAATAAAACGTTTTTTTTTCTCTTTTCAGTGATGTGTCAGTTCTTCGAGAGTGAGTATTTTCTCTACCAGCAGAAGCAAAACGCTTTCGAACAGCAATGAATATTCTCATGTATGAAAAAGTGTTGAGGATTAAACTTACACCAATTACGAAAACCATTGCAAAGTAATATGCAATAGCTGATATTGTTGCTATAGGAACGCCAAGAAAAAGCACTACCGTGGAAACAGCCATGTAAATAAGGATTTTGTTCTTTGTAAGAGAGTTTCGATGAGTTATAGGATGTAGAACAGCAATATATCTTTCAAATGTTAACGCACAAAGAGACGCTAGAGATAAACCACCAGTAATCAATGCAGTAGAACTAAATATAAATATCTCGGTACAACTAACTTGGCCAACCATTTCAGCGTAAAACAGATATGTGAATAAAGGTATTGATATTGTAACAACACATAAGTCAACCAATGATTGAAGCATGATCAAGAAGAAACACATTTTGCCTTTCAATTTGCGACTTTTACAAAATGTAACGACGCTCACCATGTTTAAAAAAAATCCAGGTAAAATCAAAGCACAGTTCACGATGCATACCGCCAATTGATTTTGAACGTATTTCTGTGATGGAAAATGAGTTATAATGAACGATGGACTGTCAAAAGAAGAACAAGGTTTTATACTAAACGACGTATTCATTTTTACTTTACAATTCGACTTGCTCGTGTTCAGCTGTTCTGTATTATTGAAAATTGCAACCTTTTTAAAGTGTTTAATCATAAATTAATTAGACATGATTAACATAATCAAATAAAAAACACAATCGTGCTGGTTGATGTATTTGATTTATGCAAATATCATATAACATTTTGCAGTCTTTGGCAAACAAGGAGAAATAAAAACATCGAATTTACATCATTATTTTGCTTGCATTTTATAAACGACTTAACGTTTTATCTGTTCAATTTAAAATGATTTGTGTTTTCAAAATACAAGACAAAAAAAGAATAATGATTTAAAACGCGTTACAAATGAATGAGATAATTTACTCAATCCCTAAGCAATGATATCCAGGATGCCTATGGCTATAATACTTGATTTAATCTTTGGCAAGTTTAAACAGGAAGAGATCTTATGAATACATAAATTTGTTGTTTTTCCTCTGGCTGTATTGATAGTGAGATTTTGTAAACTTTTGTATATTTTTAATCAGTTTTATTTATAAAGCTGACATGTCATTTGCACAGTTTTTAATTAAAACAAGAAGCCCATGATGCGTTCACTTGGGCTACTCAGGAACATGTTTTTACGCATAAAAATACTTAATCCATCGGGACAACTTGGTCCCATATATGAAAACCGCCAATTTAAAAAAATCGCATTGTGAACATGTTGGTAGCTGTGTGTATCTAACTGTCGCAGAAAAAATATCGCAGGCCTAAAAACATATTTTTGCAGGAAAAAAGATGGAAAGATAATGTAGAATTCACGGGAAGACTTTATTTCTATGTTTGCACACTTGAATGTACTCTTGAATTAACGTTCTTTGGTGTGAACATTGAAATATGCACTATAGCGCTTAAAATTATTCATGATTTGTGTTAGTTATACATATCCAATAATAGATATGTTTGATATAAAGTACTTTACATGTTTGTAGATATTGTACATTGTCCAGGTTAGTACAGTCACGAGGACTGTCGATGACTGACGTTTCGGTTGTAGTCAACTACACAAAAGTGTAACGATACTCGCGGGTTAAACCATCAATTTTAAAGTAGTTTATGATTGAAATCACGCATTGTTCAACCGTGAACCATACAAGAACTACTCAGACACAAATACACGAAATGCGTACACAAGTGGGTAGCCTACGTATGCCAAGTAACCTTAAATTTAAGTAGATTAATGAAAATATAACACTATATGTAGATTTAATATGTATATACGACTTCTTTGATATTTTAAAAATGTGTTTTGTTTTAACTATTTAGTGAAACGAACACGTAACTTTCCAGCTAATTGAGTGTCACGTGACAGTATTTTATTGAACACATTTCATATGTCATATACAGGCTCGTGTCATTTTTTTCTTGTAAAATTGCGCTAAACTGATGTAATTCTTTTAACAACTCAAATACAACATGCTTTTTTATGTAATTTGTAAAGATTTCAATGAATTCAGAGAACATTTTGGCGATGAGAAACTTACAATAGCCCTTCGACTCTCAAATTCAAAGGACATTCTAAAAATTTACGGAAAGAAATTTTTAGTTTAGTTTTACTGTCGAGCATTAAAATTGAATTTTATTTATAAAAATTTTAATGATAGCCATTTTTTCAATTTATTTACATTATGACAAACCTTTAAAATAAATTAACTGTAAACATTCAGAAGTCTCGTATTATTAAAGAAGCCGTATCACACCACATCCACCCAGAGCAATATATAAATAAAGCTAAAAAATGTATGTTTGACCAAAAATTAATTCATTCTTTATCCTTATCATAAAATTTTTATCCAATTTCCCTCAGCACAACACTAATTAACTACTAGCTATTTCCATCAGCATTGACTGCTACCAACAAATTGTACATGTGGTTGAACATTATGCATATGAAAAATGCCTTTTATCTTTAACACTCGATATACTTCTTTTCTTAACAGCGGTCGTTTCCAAAAAAATATAATTGAATTAAAGCTTGCGTTAAGAGTAATGCTTGTTGAGTACCAAGAATGGACTATTCTGTATACAAGTTTGTCTGTTTGAATGAAATACAAGCTAAGCACAAGCCCAGGAAGATAACACAGGTAAAAAATAAAAACAACGAACGCACAAGATCTTGCTAATTTTGACTCTTGAATAGAACGTCTTTTTTCACTTTTAATTGATGTGTCAGTTCTTCGAGAGTGAGTATTTTCTCTACCAGCAGAAGCAAGACGTTTTCGAACAGCAATGAATATTCTCATGTATGAGAAAGTGTTGAGGATAACACTTAGACCAATTACGAAAATCATTGCAAAGTAATATGCAATAGCTGATATTGTCGCTATAGGAACGCCAAGAAAAAGCACTACCGTGGAAACAGCCATGTAAATAAGGATTTTGTTCTTTGTAAGAGAGTTTCGATGAGTTATAGGATGTAGAACAGCAATATATCTTTCAAATGTTAACGCACAAAGAGACGCTAGAGATAAACCACCAGTAATCAATGCAATAGAACTAAATATAAATATCTCGGTACAACTAACTTGGCCAACCACTTCAGCGTAAAACAGATATGTGAATAAAGGTATTGATATTGTAACAACACATAAGTCAACCAATGATTGAAGCATGATCAAGAAGAAACAGATTTTGCCTTTTAATTTGCGACTTTTACAAAATGTAACGACGCTCACCACGTTTAAAAAAAGTCCAGGTAAAATCAAAGCACAGTTCACGAGACATACCGCCAATTGATTATGAACGTATTTCTGTGATGGAAAATGAGTTATAATGAACGATGGACTGTCAAAAGAAGAACAAGGTTTTATACTAAACGACGTGTTCATTTTTACTTGGCAATTCGACTTGCTCGTGTTCAGCTGTTCTGTATTAATGAAAATTGCAACCTTTTTAAAGTGTTTAATCATAAATCAATTAGACATGATTAACATAATCAAATAAGAAATACAATCGTGCTGGTTCATGTATTTGATTTATGCAGATATCATATAACATTTTGCAGTCTTTGGCAAACAATGAGCAATAAAAACATCAAATTTACATCATTATTTTGCTTGCATTTTATAAACGACTTAACGTTTTATCTGTTCAATTTAAAATCATTTGTGTTTTCAAAGTACAAGACAAGAAAAGAATAACGATTTAACACGCGTTACAGATGAATAAGATATTTTACTCAATCCCTAAGAAATGATATTTAGGATGCCTATGGCAATATTACTTAATTTGATCTTGGGCAAGTTTAAACAGGAAGAGATCTTGTTGTTTTGCTCTGGCTGTATTGATAGTGAGATTTTGTAAATTTTTGTATATTTTTAATCACTTTTATTTAAAAAGCCGTCACGTCATTTGCACAGTTTTTAATTAAAACAAGAAGCCCATTAGGCGTTTACTTGGGCTACTCAGGAACATGTTTTTACGCATAAAAATACTTAATCCATCCGGACAACTTGGTCTCATATATGAAAACCGCCAATTTAAAAAAAAACGCATTGTGAACATGTTGGTAGCTGTGTGTATCTGCCACAGAAAAAATATCGCAGGTTTAAAAACACTATTTTGCAGAAAAAAGATAGAAAGAAAGATAATGCAGAATTCGGGAGAAGACTTTATTTCTATGTTTGCACACTTGAATGTACTCTTGAATTAACGTTCTTTGGTGTGAACATTGAAATATGCACTATAGCGCTTAAAATTATTCATGATTTGTGTTAGTTATACATATCCAATAATAGATATGTTTGATATAAAGTACTTTACATGTTTGTAGATATTGTACATTGTCCAGGTTAGTACAGTCACGAGGACTGTCGATGACTGACGTTTCGGTGGTAGTCAACTACACAAACATGTAACGATACTCGCGGGATGAACCGCTAATTTTAAAGTAGTTTATGGTTGAAATCACGCATTGTTCAACCGTAAACCATACAAGAACTAGTCAGACCTATATACACGAAATGCGTACAATGGGTAGCCTACGTATGCCAATTGACCTTAAATTTAAGTAGAATAATGAAAATATAACACTATACGTATATTTAATATGTATATACAACTTCTTTGATATTTGAAAAATGTGTTTTGTTTTCACTATTTAGTGAAACGAACACGTAACTTTCAAAGTCATTGTATGTCACGTGACAGTATTTTATTTTACACATTTCATATGTCATATACAGGCTTGTGTCATGTTTTTCTTGTAAAATTGCGCTGATGTAATTTTTTTAACAACTCAAATACAACCTGTTTTTTTATGTAATTTGTAAAGATTTCGAGGAATTCAATAATATTTTGGGGATGAGAAACTTACAATAGCCCTTCGACTCTCAAATTCAAATGACATTCTGACAATTTACTGAAAGAAATTCAGTTAGTTTAGTTTTACTGTCGAGCATTGAAATTGAATTTTATTTATAAAAATTTTAATGATAGCCATTTTTCAATTTATTTACACTATGACACAACTTTAAGGTAAATTAATTGTAAACATTCAGAAGTCTCATATTATTAAAGAAGCCGTATCACACCATATCCACCCAGAGCCTTATATAATTAAATCTAAAAAATGTATGTTCGACCAAAAATTGATTCATTCATTGTCCTTATCATAAAATTTTTGTCCAATTTCCCTCAGCACAACACTACTTGACTACTGGCTATTTCCATCAGCATTGACTGCTACCAACAAATTGTACATGTGGTTGAACATTATGCATATGAATAATGCTTTTTATCTTTAACACTCGATAAGCTTCTTTTCTTAACAGCGGTCGTTTCCAAAAAAATATAATTGAATTAAAGCTTGCGTTAAGAGTAATGCTTGTTGAGTACCAAGAATGGACTATTCTGTATACAAGTTTGTCTGTTTGAATGAAATACAAGCTAAGCACAAGCCCAGGAAGATAACACAGGTAAAAAATGAAAACAACGAAGGCACAAGATCTTGCCAATTTTGACTCTTGAATAAAACGTCTTTTTTCACCTTTCAGTGATGTGTCAGTTCTTCGAGAGTGAGAATTTTCTCTACCAACAGAAGAAAAACGCTTTCGAACAGCAATGAATATTCTCATGTATGAGAAAGTGTTGAGGACTACACTTACACCAATTACGAAAAGCATTGCAAAGTAATATGCAATAGCTGATATTGTTGCTATAGGAACGCCAAGAAAAAGGACTACCGTGGAAACAGCCATGTAAATAAGGATTTTGTTCTTTGTAAGAGAGTTTCGATGAGTTATAGGATGTAGAACAGCAATATATCTTTCAAATGTTAACGCACAAAGAGACGCTAGAGATAAACCACCAGTAATCAATGCAGTAGAACTAAGTATAAATATCTCAGTACAACTAACTTGGCCAACCACTTCAGCGTAAAACAGATATGTGTATAAAGGTATTGATATTGTAACAACACATAAGTCAACCAATGATTGAAGCATGATCAAGAAGAAACACATTTTGCCTTTCAATTTGCGACTTTTACAAAATGTAACGACGCTCACCACGTTTAAAAAAAATCCAGGTAAAATCAAAGCACAGTTTACAAGACATACCGCCAATTGATTATGAACGTATTTCTGTGATGGAAAATGAGTTATAATGAACGATGGACTGTCAAAAGAAGAACAAGGTTTTATACTAAAAGACTTGTTCATTTTTACTTTACAATTCGACTTGCTCGTGTTCAGCTGTTCTGTATTATTGAAAATTGCAACCTTTTTAAAGTGTTTAATCATAAATTAATTAGACATGATTAACATAATCAAATAAAAAATACAATCGTGCTGGTTCATGTATATGATTTATGCAGATATCATAAAACATTTTGCAGTCTTTGGCAAACAATGAGCAATAAAAACATCAAATTTACATCATTATTTTGTTTGCATTTTATAACGACTCAACGTTTTGTCTGTTCAATTTAAAATCATTTGTGTTTTCAAAGTACAAGACAAGACAAAAAATAATGATTTAACACGCGTTACAGATGAATGAGATAATTTACTCAATCCCTAAGCAATGATATGCAGGATGCCTATGGCAATATTGCTTGATTTGATCTTGGGCAAGTTTAAACAGGAAGAGATCATATGAAAACATAAATTTCTTGTTTTAGCGCTGACTGTATTGATAGTGAGATTTTGTAAATTTTTGTATATTTTTAATTACTTTTATTTAAAAAGCCGACACGTCATTTGCACAGTTTTTAATTAAAACAAGAAGCCCATGATGCGTTCACTTGGGCTACTCAGGAACATGTTTTTACGTATAAAAATAGTTGCCAAACAGCACAGTGAAATTTACGACAATGCAATCTCATGCGTCGTTCTTGTCATTTGTGACATTTATGGGTGAAATGACACAGGGAAGATTTTGATAGGAAGACTTCGTGTCGGTCTTGCGTGCTTTGTGTTGTCTTGCAACAACGAAAGAAAATCCGAATTTTAAACTCGGGCTAATGTTTGGTTGGCAGAGTTCAAAAAGTGACTAGGTGATAAGAGGGGAATGTTAAAAAGACATACCTCAAGATATCTTAAGAAATGAAACAAGAAATTTCACTATTTTGAACAATTGTGTATATATCGTTCTATCTTTAAAAACCTGTCCCAAAATGGAAACGCTACTTAAGATAACATTTTTAGAACGGTCGTTACAAGTCGTAGATCACGATGCTCGTTTTAGAGGCTTTACTGCACGAGTCGTAAAAGAGTTCCATTTGTTGAATAATTTAGCTTTTATAACAAAGGTTTAAAGCATTTTATTACAAAATTTTTAGGAGAATGTTAATCGTACGTAGTTTATTGTCTTGTAAAAAAAAAGGAAACTTTGAATACGAAGAGACAACTCAAAGAGTTGCTTACTGTAATCCTACATTTGTCACCTGTGGACTATTCTTTTGAGTAGAGGAAGGCCGTGTGAATGTCTTTTAAACTCATTCGATACGATGTGCGGTGTCTTCAGCAATATTTGAAGTAATTTTTGGGTCTAAAATATTTTAGTTTTAGCAGATTAGACCACGGATTTCGAGATAAAACGTTTTTATCAGAGATTATAAAATTAACACAATAAAACGCGTGCTATGCTTAGTCCGTAGCTGTGTTTGCAGTAGTCTGTGCAAACTGTTGTGAGCTCGATTAATTAAATCAAAGAAAACAACCTGCCAATCAAACGTAAAAACACATGTTAGAGTAAAATTAAAGAAAATTAAAATATTTATTTGAAATTTATATGTTCCACATTAGATATTTAAAAGACTTAAAACATTTTTATTCCGTGTTTGCACGCCTTAACTAAACTTCGGAGACGTTTGCGAGAACCCACGAGCAGGTGCACACCCTCAACCTTCGGTCTCGGGCCTTCACTAATCTGCTTTCAAGTTCAATCACGCGTCTCCTTGGCCGTTTAGCATAAGCCTGTGCACATCAATAAGCATCTTTTATATATTAAGTACAATTGATAATCATTTACGCGTAAACTTTTTTCTATCTATCTTTCACGGAAAACGCTACACTGTTTTGATATTATTTTTCGTAAAATTTTTATTACTTTGGGACACGAAAGTATATAAGCAAAATATACTGAAGTTACACAACCAAGTTGTAAACAACTAATTTCGCAATCGGTTTTTTAATTAATGCAAAAACTGAATTATTTATAAAGCAGAATAAATTATGCGACAGGGCACCATATGCCTCATGTATACATATATAATATGAATTAAATGAAAGTACAGAGACAAAATGTAACAATGTTCTACCATTCCATCTAAACCATTCCACCTAGTTTAGGTTCACGAACTGTTAGTTTATGAATTGTTATAGTTTTTTATGTTCTTTATTTGCATGGGAACTAATAAGTTTTTGATGCAGTTATGTTTATGTTTAATTTAGTTGAAGTGATTTCTTTGTATCGCTATTTTGAGTGAAATTAACTGGTAAATAAAGCTTGTTATTATTCACTATTTGAGCATTCTCGGCTGTGATTGGTCAACTGCTTGCGGATAATTCTCGATATCTGCAGGTTATGACGTCATAACCTGCAGATAATAGTTTCTACAAATACGGACGCCATCAAAAGCCAGTTTTGAAAAAAATCAAACAGCGATATTTGTCAGTTTCTAAAAAGGACGAGGAAAACACTAAAAAAGCGGTGAGCCTGGCTTTGAACACATTTACAACATATTTAAACGAGATGAACTTCAATAAACGCGTCTGACAAAAACAAATTAGTGAAGGTTTGAAAAATGTTTTATATTGATATGTTTCGATAATACTTCAGTGAAGAATAAAACAATTATTGAATTCGTTTTTCGCATGACATCAAGAATTATTCAGACCTTGGTCAATGTTATACGCATCAGCTTTGCATTGGAAGAGAACATCCGACTTCGGTCTGAATAATTCTTGATATCATACTCAAACTCATGCAATAATTGCTTATTGAAATCGTCTCATTCATCTTCATAAAATGATTTATATTATAGATTTGAGATCATGCGGCAGAAATTCTGCGGCATAAATAATGCTAAATTTTTTTAAAGCAGATTTTTTGTGTGATTCTTTCATAGTAGAATTTTATTCAGAACAAACAATTTCTTCATTGACGGGCAAACTAAACTGCTGAGAAAAACTTACAGTGAAAGCTTAAATTTCGATTATGAACAAGTCAAATATTTTGTAAGGGTCATTATTTCGCACCTAACACGCTAATTTTACAACTGTCTTCACAACGTAGGTAATTTTGCTTGGAAAAACGTTAGACCAAAAAAAAAAGGAAGGAGTTCTGTATAACGAATTAAGAGATAGAAAAGAAAGTAAATGGAGCTGAGTTTTTAAAAGATATTTAATTCAACACATTTATTTATGATGAAGGTGCACCAAAACCTCCACCACCACGACCAAAGCCACCACCACGCTAAATAAAAAAACACATATCGTTTACCTCAAAATATTTACTTTAAACAAAATCTCAGTAGAGACAAGAGGGAGGGATGTCATTAACAATATTTATTACATGGCAAGCGTCACTTTCGGATAAACGGTGCACTTTGATTGGCTCATAAACATTTTTGCCAGGCCATTGTTTTCCCGTAATCAACCACGGTCCAAAACGCGTAGTTTTACGGTCAAATGTAAGCAAATTTCGAAATGCAAACAGCAAAACGCAATAAAACAAAACCAAAAGTATTTACGAATGTTTGTTGAAGGAAAACACTTGGAAACAGTTTAACTATCCAGACGATACAATTTAAAATGAAAACTAGAAAAGTGAAAGGCAGCGCGTGCAAAACAGCAAAGACGAGAAAGAAAGCAAGCTTTGTTTCAGGTCAAATGATGCCATATAAAAAACTTTCAATAACCTCGCTTTCTTGGTCTTTACTGGGAATATTGGACCTCTGTATTTTTGTACAAACGTCGCACTACGCGCCACAAGTTATTCCTGTTGAAATTCCTAAATTGTTGTAAGTTAAAACGTTTTGCGTAGTTCAGAATGTTGTGAAAATTTTCGAGAAGATTTATCGGATGAACAGTATTGAATCGTTTCCTTTTGCCAAAATCATTTAACGCTTGGCTGAGTCACGGCTACCCGTGCTCGTTTAATCAACTCCTTAGTTTCAACGTTTAGTTTAAAAGAACTAATAAAACATAGATCGTTTAAACATATATGTAATTAGGTCGCGTGCCACAACACAAAGACTCTTTGATTTCCAATCAATGTAGACGAACAATAAGATGAACAAATTGCGACGACTTAAATTTTGTTCACATCGTTTTAATATCATACAAAGTATTGGTGACAAACAGTTAATCCATCCGGACAACTTGGTCTCATATGTGAAAACAGCCAATTTAAAAAAATGGCATTGTCAACATGTGGGTTGCTGTGTGTATCCAACTGTCACAGAAAAAATATCGCAGGTTTAAAAACACTATTTTGCAGAAAAAGATAGAAAGAAACATAATGCAGAATTCACGGAAAGACTTTATATGTTTGCACACTTGAATGTATTCTTAAATTAATGTTCTTTGGTGTGAACATTGAAATATGACACTATATCGCTTGAAATTATTCATGATTTGTGTTAGTTATACATATGCAATAATAGATATATTTGATTTAAAGTAGTTTACATGTTTTTAGATATTGTACATTGTTCAGGTTACTACAGTCACGAGGACTGTCGATGACAGACGATTCGGTGGTAGTCAACTACACAAACATGTAACGATACTACCGGGTTAAACCGTTAATTTTAAAGTAGTTTATGGTTCAACCGTCAACCATACAAGAACTACTCAGACACAAATACACGAAATGCGTACACAAGTGGGTAGCCTACGTATGCCAAGTGACCTTCAATTTAAGTAGATTAATAAAAATATAACACTATATGTATATTTAATATGTATATACAACTTCTTTGATATTTTAAAAATGTGTTTAGTTTTCACTATTTAGTGAAACGAACACGTAACTTTCCAGCTCATTGTATGTCACGTGACAGGGCTCAGATCCGAGATAAGTGAAGTTGTTGAAATTTCTCATAAATTTTAATGATTAATTCCTTATCGCCTTCAATGAAAATAATTTTTTGCTTTAAATAATGTATCATCATAAACTTTTTGTTCAAAGCCTTCTAACGTCTTCCTACTTTTCATATGTCTTCCTACTCTTCATATGTCTTCCTACTCTTCATACGTCTTCCTACTCTTCATATGTCTTCCAACTTTTTATACGTCTTCCTACTCTTTACACGTCTTCCTACTCTTCATATGTCTTCCTACTCTTCATATGTCTTCCTACTTCCTTCCTTCTTCCCATTGTCTACGCTTTATTGTCTTCCCTTCATTCTTCTCTTCGTCTTCCTAATCTTCGTTCGTCTTCCTACTCTTCATACGTCTTCCTACTCTTCATACGTCTTCCCATTCTTCATACGTCTTCCTACTCTCAACGTCTTCAAACTTAGCCAATAACTCGATATGTTTTATGACTCGCGTTGATTTATATACGTACGCGTAGAAGACAAATTTCTAACTAATTTTTCCACGATTTCAGTGCCGATGGCAAACAACGTTTGAAAGTAAATGATTTGAACCCGGGAGTATCGTTACATGTTTGTAAATGTAGATCGTCCAGATTAGTATAGTCTTTGACTCTGAAGATGACTACCGCTAAGGTTGTCGAGACGTCAGTGAACAACAACAAAAACAGTCCTTCTCAGGACTATAGCAACATAGACGATCTACATTTACAAGCATGAAACAACGTTTGATTCTTCAAAGCTAAGATATGCATTTAATTGTATTTCCTGCTCATAATTTGCCATCTATCAAATGTCGATGTTTATTGTCCTGATATCTTTAGACGATACGTAGATCACGAAAATAACATTTGTAATTCGTACATGACTTGAAAGCAAAAAAATTCATTTGCTTTCTAATTGGAAAGAATCGAACATTATATATGTAATTATTAAAGTACTGATATCTGTCATCATTAGTTGTCAGCGAAGGCAGCATTAGTGTATACTATCATGGCGGTCTTTCGTCATGAAAACATACATGCGAAGCTTTGTGAAGAGTGCGAGACATAACTTGTCCAATTAATAATTCGAGCTCATATTCGATTCTACATGAATAGGCTGTGTCATTCAAGTGTATCACAGAATGTTGTTAATTTTAATTAAAAACATATTCATAATTATCGAATACAATTCTTTGTCGACTGCACAAACTTAATACTTGATATCAGAGGCAAATGTACGTTTCTCATCATAACGGATTATTGCATAAAGTTTGATATGTATCATGCGCTTAGAGGATTTTAACACACAGTACAAGTTTTAATGCCGTAAAGCTTCGATCACAAAGCACAAGTAAGCACTAGAGATATGACAAACGCGCTCAACCGCTATTCTTCGTCATAGTTCACAAATCGTACAATCACGGTAGATTACGACAGGCAGAGCGAGACACTTTTTAAACAGCATAGTAAAATAAGTTTTTAAAAATCTCGCACTTGTACTCTGCTCAACAAGCTAACAAAATTGAACATGCTGTAGCAACCTAACCTACAATTAACTCTTGATCGTTGGTAGTATACTGATGAAAACAGAACAGACTATCTAGTCAGCAATGAATTTTAATACTTACGAACTCTGGATTAAAATTTGAACCAGCACCACCTTTTGGTTCGGATGCTGGACCACGTCGATACGCCTCGCGGTCAGCGGTATCAGTTGGTGGTCCTGAAGGTCTTGGTGCTTCTATAATGAGTGGTACAACACAATCAATGTACAACCATTAAGTCAACATTGAACAATAGTTGATCATAGTAAATTATATCATAACGGATGGAACAAATTCTGTAAATGCAAAGACGACCAAATAAAATTGTCCTGTTCCTGTTCCACAATTATATACACCACAATACTAGCAACGTTATTTGCAGAAACGGATATAACAATAGTTATGAAATTTGGCTACCACAATCAGACCTACAAATAACTTTAATGCAGGAGTATTACATCAGTATTTTATGGAACAGTGATTTTCTTAAAGTTTACTTATTTACGATTGCTAATGGCTGTGCAATCTACAAAACATAGTAACAAAAAAGGACACATGACGACACAATTGCCTTGACCCAGACTTCATGCCACGATGGACAAGGTCTATTGTAAAGCAAGTTTAAACCTGCATAACAAAAAGACAATTTGACCAGTTTGAAAATTTTTTTCACCGATATGTTAAACATTACAACTATTGCAGATAGAGGCACTTTAAAAGAAATGCTGCCTCAAAACTTTATTTGCGATACTTTTGATATCGCAAATAAAGTTTTTGCAGATAGAGGCACTTTAAAAGAAATGCTGCCTCAATGTTATTTGCATCTCGAAAGACGCAGGCCATGTAAAAGACGTAAAAAAACAAGTACGAGGCTACAGATGTAAATCAAAAGAAATAATGAAGAACCTTTTGGCCTGGGACGACCTCCGTCGCTTCGTGTTGGTCGGCGAAGCGTCGCCGGAACAATTTCGGGTGGGAGATTTAAATAATCTCTGAGGTAAGTAATACCTATATTCAAAAAAACAACAAAGAAACGTAGAATAATTATGTATTGTATATTGCTATGTGCTCAAATGCGCTTCCCTTTAAGAAAGTACATAGTTACTTTAGAGTTGTTGTTAAAAGCATGCTACCCTAACAAGACGTAAAAATAAATATATATTTTGGTCAAGGGCCTAAAAATCTTTATAAAATTTTTATATAGATGATATTTCAATAGATTTTACATGAGAACGATTTCTTCAATAATGTGAGAGAAAAAAGGTACGTATTAAGTAGATGTAGGTAGCTTGTGAAATTCAGGCATTAGTACAACTTACGTGTACATTATTTTTGCCATATGTATGTAACCTCATCGTTATCAACTTCTTAAAATCTGACGTGTGTATGCTGTTCACAGAACCAATAAATCAATGCACTTGACTTGTACTAACTTATATATACACGATTTGTATAACTGTACATGACTGATACGTTGCAAGTGATTCCAAGAACTTAATTTTATTTCCTGCAGTATACGAGTTTGACTCGTATCATGTTTTATAGTCATTTAGATGTTGACACAGATCAAATTTGCAATTTGCTATTCATAACAAACTACTGTAATCAAAGTGAACAGAGCAATATGTAATCAACGCGAATAAAACTATTGAAATTGACTAAAATACATATATAATAAAAGACTACGATGATTCGTCAGGCAAATTCATCTCGTGTTTACTTCCGTATAAATACATGGCAACCATTTAATATATTTGAATATTATTTTAATACGACTAAATGCCTCCGACGATACTGTGCCGATTGCAAATAACGTTATAAACACAAATGGACCATTTACACATTGAAAATATTTCATTGTATTCAATGCAAAGTACGATTGTCGTTATCAAGCGCTTTGATGTCTTCGACCTTACAGTACAAATTGTAATGCCGTAAAATTTTGATCACAAAAACAAGTGAGCCATCAACATACAAAATATGACAAAAATATAGCAAGGTAATTACTCGAATCATAAAACTGCTCTTGAAAAAGCTCTTTAACACGCGAAACGTGGCTTTGCCTAGGGGAAGATTCCCTGTGGAATGCAGCGAGCGAACAAATAAATGGCAAATGAGAAATTGTTAACAAAACTATTTACAATCTGAGATTATCTGTCTACAATATTGTCCGTAGAAAGCGACGAAAGGGACCATTCTTCGTCATCGTTCGTCTTCCGACTATCACCAATGATTACGATAATGATTAGCCGCGCATGCACTGCTGCTACCCACAAAAAAAGTATAAAAACTTCATACCTTCATTTGTTAAATACCAATAATAGTGTTTCCACGCAAATTGCTCTTTTACATAACCACGTGATCTCAAAGACTAAAACATATAGAAATAAAGGCATCAAACACGTGTATGAAAAAGAAAAATAGAAACAATGGGATGACAAAAAACTTTAAAAATCAAAGCTTTACAGATACAAGATTTACTTTATTCAGACAGTAATCAGGTAAGGGATAGAATAGAACGATGTACTTAGTACAAAACTACGTAGACTGTAACTTGTAAAAGAAGACTATATTTAGCTCCATTCGTGACTATATGTAAAACCTAGGTAGTATGAAAACTGAGCAGCTGGGAAAACGTTGCTAAATTCGTAAGTACAAGGTTTGCAAAGACTTTTACATGAAGCTTTATTAGGATTAGCTTGAGCATATAAATGACACACCTAAAACGCAAGTAAGCACACACTTGCAGTTAAAGTAGGGCACATGCTGTTCATACTACAAAGTTTTAGCAAGTTCACCTAATACATACACAAATATTGGGTAATAAATCACAATGAATTTGGTATTTTTTCCCTTTCGAATGGCCACTATTTTAAAACATGAACCAATTATTTATATTGAATTAATATAAACTTAAATTTATGCATAACTGTTCATGATTACAAAAAATTTATAGAATCCAAAATACCAATCAATTTGAAAGCTGAGCATTTGCAGTGCGCACAGGAATAATTTCCAAAAATTTCTTAGCTTGAACAATGCATGGCTTAATTTAAAATGTACTTCATCCAATTTTTTTAGAGTCATTTTTTTGGGGGGCAGTCTGTTTGAAAAGTGCTTATTTATAACATGAAATATTATCACACTAAAGTATGCTTATTATTTTCAACAGTTTCACAGTCTGATGAAATATTGGAACTCAAATCATAACAATTTGCAAAAAACAATGTTTTTGCAAATTGTTCTTACTGCTACATTTATCAATGTTCTTTAACTTAAACGTTTTTAATTCTTACATTAAATAATCTATAGATACATAATGTACAGATTCCAAAGTATATTATTATATGGCAAGCGTCACGCCTGGCAAAATAGAACGCTTTGATTGGCTCAGATAATTTTCATAATTTTCTGTAATGGATCATGGTCCAAAGTGAGCAATTTTACAGTCAAATGTAAACAAACTTCGTAAATTAAACAGCAAAATGAAAAAAAAGGAACAAGAAAACATTTACCAATGTGAGTCAAAGGAAAAACACTTTGAAGACAGTTCAATTATAAAGACCATACAACTTGAAGCTTTGCCATTCAACAATAAAAAACAATACAATTTGGAGCTTTGCTTTGACATTTCCCTTAACATTTACCTGCATTGCCTTGATAACCTGTAAATTAGGTACAGTTTCAAGATCTGGATGTCGTGGTGCATTGAAATCTTTCTTTGCTACCATGACACCTTCTTTGAAAAGGTATTCATATATACTGGTGCGGTTCTTCTTAGGAATCAACATTCTATAAAGAAATAAGTTAATAAACACATCAGCTTTCAATCAAAACGCAAGAAAGACACTTGCAAAAAAATCTCTATGATACTATGGCATTGTGGTTTAGAGCACTCTTTGCTGATGTTCCTAGTGCAGTCAACACAGGTTTAATAAACTTAATACTGTTATGTACAATACACTGCAGTGAATAATTTCCGACTTTATCCAAGGATGGCCCAGTTTGACATTTGTAACACATTTATAATACTTGGTATGCATTGATTAAGTACTTGGTAAGGAACTTTCAATAAAAACAAGTCATTCAGTAAATAAATAAGTAAAAAATATATATGTATCTCTATAACAAACATACGTTGGAATTGTTACAATACATTTCACAGGTCTGTTTAATTAGCTGGCTATCAGAAAAATAATACAATATCACATAATGTAAAACAGTTCTTTTAAGACAAAATTAATATCCCTTCTCGTTTATTCATTGAATTGATAAATAACTGGACAAAATGGAAGTCCATACTTCGTATTTGAAACAAGATTATGCCCATAATGATTCTTAAAGAGCATTTGGAGAAATCGTACAAACATAATTTATTAAAATATTTTCTTGAAAACAAGTAAAAATTAAGTTCATCACCCATCCATTTTAAAGGCAATCTTACAAGTTGGAGGATACCACATAAAGGTAAAGTTAGTTAAAGTAAAACATTATTTAGTTCTCAATTATTACTTCGCTAGTATCATTTAATGGTCAATATAAACAACGAAATATAAAAGACAATTCATGCTATATGAGTGGAGAGTAAGTGGAAAGGTATTCTATCATCTAGCCTATAATTCGGACAGTTTATCAACTAAAGTCAAAATTTGGCATTTGGATTAATTCTCACATTACAATCAATGGAAGTTGAATCAAGCTTAGTGTAAATAACTAAAGAAATAAAGTCCAATTTACACCCAGATTGCTATCATTAAGACTGAAACATTTCTCCTGATCATATGGGCTTTGTCTATTCTACGTGTTACAAGAATTAACAAAATTGCTTCGACAGGACATTATTAATATAGGATTCGTAAACACAGGATTGAAAATTTTATTTATAGTAAACATGTTATAATCAACTACTTTCTCATAAGGCAGTATCCATGATAATAAGAAATACAAAAATGCATTTTTAACGATGATATTCCAACAAACTTTAACAGAAAACACTAAAAACCTTAGCCCACAACTATCGTGAAACATTCATGGCAAATTTATTGAGTGATGGATACAATATGAATGGATTTAATAAAGAAAAAATCACCTTCGTGCTGTAGTTATTCGAGACGAATAGAAAGAACTGTCACGAAGCGGGGGACTGGTTTAGGCAACAAAATTTTAAATACCATCTCTCAGGATGTGGCGAGTGCAAGCTTTTCGCTACAATTATTGTGGTCAAATAAACCTGCTATGTAAACATGTTCAACACTCTGACTGCTATCAGGAGGAATCTCACATTACTTTGAAATATTTGAAAACTTGAAAAACTTGATTTCCCTGACTTTTTGTGAATGCTCGGATTTCTCTATAATGAAACACAACAGCATAATATTTTAAGCTACAACATTACTTTCGAAGATACACTGAATTTAGGAGAGCATCGTCCAGTAATTTGCTTCGTGTAGGAGTTTCGTAGGCGTAATAATTCAGAAAATTACGTTGAATAACTTTGACCAATCATCATAAAAGAAGTTTTTAAATTGCAAATCTACGTCGTGTGGGAGTGCGCATCTAACTGTTGCAAATTATGGAATTTGGAAGTTTGTTCATGATGTCACTACTAGCTAAATTTAGTTTGCTGACCAAAGTTCTAAACTAGTTTATTCAGTCTATGCATAATGTTGCACGACTAGCTTTGCTGCTATTATGTTGTAAAACATTGCTTTCATAATGAGCCATAAGACAATCGCTGCGCCACTACGATAATGCTACTAGTTCCCTCTTAACACCAGCATATTGATCCTAATACTTATCAACAATTTTGTGGCTTAATTTCACGTTTCAAACGTCTTGACAAATTGAAAATATTTGAGAGATACAATAGTTGCTGTTTTGCATATAATCATTATTTCCCCGTGATCACATTTAAATAGTTTTAATTCCATAAAACTATTCACCGTTGTCATCTTGCTGAGATCTTTTTAAGTTTCTTAAATAAAATCTGATCAATAACAACACTGCAAAGCACTAGTTGTGTTTGGTTGAAGGATCAATAGCAAGAAAGAAATTGATGACAAAACATTTGTAAGTTTTGCGTGGTTTATTTTATTTGTTATTTTTAAACAATAATGCGATAAAAACAAACTTTTAAAATTTTCCTTTCATTATACTAGTGATGACAACGTAATTTTACCGCTTTATTTAATCTAGCTTTACGGCTTATCAAAATAGTCGCTTTTATTATGTCAAGCAAATGTTTCTTTCACCTTCTTTGAATATAAAATTGTATGCTGCGCACAAAACTTCTTTCACATAAAACAATTATCTGCAGTGATGCAAAGTTTCTATATTAATTCATATACGAATGTAGCTAAGCTGCGCGCAATTAAATTTTCTTGCAAGACGATAATTCATGTAGTATAGACTAAAAGGTTTCGTGTTGTCATGTAACAAATATTCGTTTGCTGGCACTTCTTACTCTTCTTAAGATATGAATTATGTTGTGTCATTTTAGACATATTTACATTAAGAATTTTCTAGATATTGTTGAATTATTTAGTAACTGACATGTCCTTATTTTAGTTTATCACGTCTATTTCCTCGTGTAAAATATGGTTTTATTATTCGCAGATATTGACTAATTTCTGACTAAAGCTAGAGTTCTAGAGAAATCTAAATAATAACAATTCATAAGGAAGGCGGTCAGAGTTGACGCTTCATTAAATGCACCTTACCGGGAAAACAATTAGACAAATTTAAAATACTGAGAATTTAAAAACAATTATTTCTTCATCAAATCAATTACGATAAGGACAACGCATGTCGAATAACTATGTAAGTCAATGTAAATGCTAAATGGTAGAGACGCGTTTAAATCTTTCAAACACAAAATGGCACAAGTCAAGGTCATTTTTTGTTTTTCAAATTTATACGTATTTTAAATAAAAGTTCCTGTTCAATAACTATTTACATTTTTCATGTTTCAAATTACCTATAGATGAAAGTAAAACAATTGGTGAAAAACAAGAAATTGCGTGGCAGACACGAGCACGAAGTAGCTACTAGTGTTTCCTAGCAATTTCAGACGCGAATTTCTAACATGTGCTATACCATACATGGAGTCAGTGATTGATTTTGTCCTAAAACTTTTCTAGCCATCTTCAATAAACCTTTCATTTATTCTTGCTGCTTTCCTTAAACAACAAAACTTTATTGAAATACTTTTCCCTCAATTTCTACCCTCTTAACCATGTTAAACTGTCCAGGGGCGGCTCTAAGGGGTATCAAGTGTGGCACTGTGCACGGTCAGAATTCGAAAAAAATGTCGAAATTTAGACATATAACATATATTTCCTTAGTTTATGCAGCTTATTGAGTATAATTTTTAACCAAAAACACTAAAAAAACATGAACTGCACTTGTTGACGCAATGAAAATTTGCATTGAATCGACTGATTTATTAGTCATCGTATTATTCCGACGTTTAGATTTGTTTAATGTAATCCGATTATCCTATAGGCGACGGCAATCTTACCGTTGGACACGATCAGTGCGCGTTTTCTTGCCCAATTTCGGCATTTTCAACCACAGTGACGTAATTCTAGAGGGTGTCCAACCAATTAAAGATCACAGTTTTGGTCACCTGATTGTAGCAGGGCACAGTTGGCCACGGTTTCGCATTATTTATTGCGCAATTTCAAAGTAACTACACGGAGTTAAAAATAACTTAATCCTAATATCAAATTACGAGTGCCGTGTGTATAGTCAGTTTATATTCGGACAATATTACTTCAGGTCCACTGAAAACACCTTTGAAAACGCTTTTCTCTGATTTATCAAAATATATGTTGTTGATATACACCGAGTACTCTCATAATTTTTATGTAGTTTGAAAGTTGATGCAAGTTTGTTATTTGTCATTTCATTCTTTGAAAAATTGTAAATACTTCTTTATGTTTAGTACACAGGCTGATGGGAACTGTGTGTACAGTGCATGCTCCATTTCAATGGTAGGGGATGAAAGTTTATCACTCTATGTTGCCTTACCAGCATTGAAATTTTTTAGAATGCCAAATATTATGCTCACCATCCATTAATTTATAAAGAGCATAAGGATGGGGCATTTACATGTTTTCAACTTGCATTAGCTGTGTGCTTGCCTGATACTGCCCTTTCAGTATGTGAATAACATAGCCATATTGCAGCAGCTGTGGAAAAAGCTGAGGATAATGCACAGAGTTTTATGTATTTGTTACATCCTGCATTATTGAATCATACTACCCGATGGGAAATGATTCTTTACCAGACTTTGTATTCTCTTTGAACATTGCTCGTATTATCATGTTCCATGCATACTAAGCATTGCACACAGGAAGAAAAATGGTGCGGTTATTTTTGTAATGTATTGTATTGTTCTTTTACTTTTCATTGAAAAAAATGACGTGCTTCATCTTTCTATTGCTACCAAGGAAAAATACTGTGATTATGACAATGGATGAAAATGTTTTGATTTGATTATGGTAAGACTTGGCAAACACAAAGTAGTATTTACGGACAAAATTTAAAATTGGCCAAAATTTAAGAAATTTTTTCCCGTTCAGTTCATGAATAGGGTTTTCCTTTATTCCATCATATAATTTTCCAGAAAGCAGGAAATTGCTTTTCTGTGAGTTAAATTTTATAAAATTTTCTGGGGGAACATGACCCAGACCCCCCTAGCGGTCGTTCGCACCTTCCATGATCGCCTAGACACGGTCAGTGCATGGCTCAGATCCGCCCTTGCTGTCCATCGCAAGTAACTAAATATGTCTACAACTTTATCTCTAATTTCTGTATCTCAATGTTGAGAAAATACTTTGAAACATTTTAGAAAGTGCAATGAAGTGCAATGAAGTGCAAGAAGCTGAACGAAGTTGGGTATGCGCCTTGGCACCAGGTTTGACTTAGATACGACTCGTCACTCATCTTTAGTTAACAATTAAATTCTGAACAAAAAGGATTTTTTTAAATGCAGCTCGCATTGATTTGGCTGGAGGCTGGAGTGACACACCACCAATTACAAATGATGTTGGAGGTGAAGTGACAAATATTGCTGTAAAAGTTGATGGCCAAGTGAGTAATGGATAGCCAAATTTGTATTGTGTGTTTTAAATTAAAATCGTGTGTTTTTTTGCAGAAACCTATTGGAGCTAAAATCCGTAAAATTGAAGAGTAAGCCATATTATATAAAGAAGTATATTAAACTCATCGTCGTTAAAAATATTTAGCTATTTAATTATTCCAAGTTCTTCGTACAATATACCACAAACATAAGAAAAACCGTGTACTGTTTTTTTGTTGAAACACAATCTATAGTTAAGATGGGGGATATGCCTGCCCAATAAAAACTTGTTTGTTTGTAGGAATGAATTAGTTCTAGTCATACTTAGTAAAAAAAATGCTGATCCGAAAGAGTCACATAGAATAGTTTGCAAGGAGTTGAAAGACCTGGAGGATCGTAATGAACCTAAAGCTGAAGGTATGTTTAACAATGACAAGAAAGATAAATGTTCACAAAAATATTTAGAGTTATTCTTTATTATAGATTTTATTTCTATCATTTTAATCGTAAAAAGCTGAAGGAAGTAACTCATATTTATTAATACAACTGCCAGCTTATGCTGTATAAGTTGAATCAGCCTTAAACATTGACCTCTAAAAATGTTGAGAGGGGGCAATCAATTCATATATGTCATTATACATTATACACTACATATGAATTAATTACCTATTGCAAACTCATAATATTTGCACACTAATCTAGCATTAAAAAATCTCAATAATGTTTAAGAACTTTAACTTTATTGTTCATTGTTAAACTTTCATATCTAAAATGGGAAATTCATTATCTTGTTAACTCCAGAATGCACCTTGTCAAGAATGATTAATTGGTTCTTATTAGGGTTTGTAGGCTATAACCCTAGCCCTTTACTAAATTCCTATTGAGTGACGTATTCAGCGGTCGCTTTGGTCGGGCACAGCAATCAAAATAGTGCTTAATTTAGGTAGGTTTCAAAAAATTTTATCCATTTTTCGATAATTTGCAGAGTATAATTCATCTTTTTCTTGGATATCGATTTTTACAAAAAAAAACAACAAAAAAACACAAAATTGCTACTTCGTCAAGCTCTCAAAATTGTGAGCGCTAGATAGTATATTTTAAAGCAATTTTTCCGTGTGTGGTCTGGAATGAGAGTTGCTTCTTTTTCGGTTATAGTCAACGACTGCTTTGCTAACATGCAATATTTTTTCAAATGATATTTCATCTGAATTCAAGTTTTTATGGCTATTTACTTTAATTCTTTATGCAAGAAACGATAAATACTTTTCATAATTTTATAAATACCTTAAGCTTTTTTCTGAAGGTAAAATTTCTAATATTTTTGTTATGTTAATTTCAAATTAAATAACCACATTGAAGATATTTGATAGAAGAGAGGAACTTTTTATGCTGATACATATGAATGATTGATTCTATCACTTTGCCATTTACAAAATAACCTTAATAAATACAATTAATTTTGTTTTGGGATGCAGTAACTTTTGTACAGAGCAATATGCATCAATATAAACAAGTACTACAGCGTCTGAAAAGAAAACAACTTTTGAAGTTTTTGAATGAAGTAAAAAAGGAGCCTTGTTGTATTCAGGAAATGTCTACTGATCATGATAACAAAAGAGATGGAAGGAATCCGAAAGATGAACTAAAGATAGAGAACAGAAGAAATAGGCTTAAGAAAAAGATGCTCAAAACAGGCAAAAATTGAGAATGTGTTGTATAGCCAATGATCTTTTCCATAATGCATGTGGTGTGAGTGATGTGCTTCTATGAAGAGCAGTAGTAGTACAATTCTCAAATAGATTTGAAGGAAGAGAGTAGCCTGTAGTCATCCATTGCGAAGCAACAGATTACAGTCCAAAAACTAAATTTAGGTTACTTGAATTGATGTTGGTCAAGTTGATAAAAAATTCTTTGTATTTTATTGCTATTATGTTTACAAAATCAAAATTTACTCTGATTGAATGCCCCGGACATCTCTGGTTAATCTTCAATCTAGAACATTCAGTAATTGCACCTCTAAACCAGATCACTTGATAATCTGTTGAAACCGATTTGAAGAGATCGTTAAAACCTATCTATAGCAAGAAAACGTACAATTAAAACATCAGCTAAGGTTATGTAGATGTCGTACTTCACTACATTACATGGTGACTAACGAGCTCGAACTACCCAAACAACCTACATAGCTATAAGAAAATACTTCCTATTTTCTCGTGAGCTATCCTTTATGCTCATTTGATTTATAAACGTAGCATCTGAGGCGCCACATGATAAAGCATGAATCAATATATATAATTCAGCGTAACCGCTTTTGTAACATGGACCTGGCAAGAGTAATTACTTTTTCAAATAGCTACGGCACGACAAATATATAAAAGTAAAGGACATCAGACTGCTATTAAGTCTATCGTAAAATCTTGTACAAAACGCTCAACAGATATACAAATTCCATAATTTTAAAATTTGAACATAGCGATTTGAAAATAAAAGTCTCAAGTGAAACTAACAAGTCAGTATAGTGAAGTTTATCCAAGAAAAAGTAAAAATAACACAATTTAAAGTCAAAAAATTATAATGGTGCTAGTGATTCTAAAATTCAGTATGAATTTTTTCCAGTCAAACTAAAATTGCAGTGAAAAACTTAAATATATATTTAAAACTTGGTTGTTGTTTCAATTGGCTTTTACATACATTACTAAAAAATAAGTGCGATTGATCATTCGTAAGTGTTAGATATTTAACATTATTATTGTTAAAAGTTGATTGCCTCTAAAAAAAAAGTCAGTTGTAGGTAATGTGTCAAAAACATAGTTTGGTTTGATACAAGAATAACTGACATACAATGTGATTCAAGTTGTGTATCGTTTTTAAAATTATTTGAGATAAATGATCAATGAACCAATTACATCTTATATTTTAGGTGCACTACTTAAAGCAGCTTTCTTGTGTACTAAAGTTGTAAATATCGAATCAGAAAAACATTAGCTGACCAACTGCGAGAAGAAGGATATAACTGCGGTTTTGAGTTGCACACTTGGTCAAATTTACCACAAGGCTCAGGCATGGGAACAAGTAGTATACTTGCTGGCGCAGCTTGTGCTGTAATTGGGAGGATTACAGGAAAAAATTACAGTGAAAAAGAATTAATAGATCTTGTGCTAAAAGTGGAAAAAGAAATGTCAACTAATGGAGGTTGGCAGGATCAAGTTGGAGGGTTGATAGCAGGTGTTAAATACACAAATTCGCCAGCTGTAAAAGATGAAGAACCAGCCGGCGTCTACAAGCGATTGACACATTTTTTTCAAACCATTTTTCAAGTTGGAGGGTCGATACTAGGTGTGAACTATACAAATTCCCCAGCTATAAAAGATGAAAACCAATCCGCGTCTATCCAAAGCAATTGTTAGTTACTGATGACAAATTGAACAAACTCTGCAGCAGAATGGCTTTAATATTTACTGGAGAAACAAGATTAGCTAAAAATGTTCTTGAGGTTCTATTGAAATTTTTTGCACAAATTGAAATTTTGATTTGAACATCCTGGTCAGTATTTTAATATTTACAGAATGTAATAAAACAATGGGAAAACGGTGAGGACAGAATAAAAGAAAACGTACAAGAACTGAAACAAAATGCAAATGAATGTGCCGAAGCTTTGATTCAAGGTAAGAAAACCACCACATAAACTCCAATTTCATGTAACAACAGAACGCTATCTACAGGTGCCAAAAGTAGAATTTTCTTAATTGCGCCCATTGAATATAATGTGTACTAATAATGCATAAATATATTTTGGATAGTTTGTTATTATTATAGCTTTGCTTAATTCAGTAGCAAATTTAGAGCTCCTCAAAATGAATTATTGTTGGTACATTTTAATTTAAAAGCAGCTACTTTAGAAAAACATCTATGGTTTTGTGTTTCTAAAATAATGTGATTTTATCAATGAATTTGTCTTCAGGAGGCTTACAATTGTAAATAGATGCAATTGCAGTAATTTATTTCAACGAACCCTAAATATGGCTAAATATTCGACATATTAGAACACATGCTATGTTTTATAGGTAATATAACCAAGCTGGCAGAATGTCTGAACAAATATCGTGAGCAAAAATCAATAATGGCGCCCGGTTTGTAATATTTGACAATTGTAATTGCAAGTTATATGTAATGAATTACATGAGTTCTTTCTGATAACATGTTTAGATTCTGAACCAGAGGAAGTTCGCGACTGTTATAAAATTCTTAACAAGCATGAATGTGCTGGTAAGCCTTTTTTACATAAAAGATAAATATTGATGCTCAATCTTTGTTACATATTTAAGATAAGGATATTGATTATTTTTGAAAGTAATTCACATCATACGTTCCTGTCGTACAGCATGCACAATGTTTTGAACATTTATGTTAACATATACTTAATTTTGTGAGTGTCCTGCAAGAAGAATTGAAAAGCAATACATATGATGTATATTAGGTTACTGCTTGGTTGGAGCTGGTGGAGGCGGTTATTTGGTTGTTATCACAAAAGAAGGAAAAACGGTTGAAGAACTGAGAAAATTAGTTTCACCCAAGGTAACGTTACTCGCATAAATATAAAGTAGTTTAGAATTCTTCACTAGAAAAATAACCTTATGTCAATTTTATTTACAGTATGAAGTGAACAAAATACAAATAGATAACGAAGGTTTGGTTTTCACCTCTCATGCAGACTGGGTGGAGGAAACCAAGAAACTAACACAAGATTAAAAATTGTGGAGAACAATGTAGCTGCCAGCAACACAAGCGCTAATGGATTTCTTTTTTTGTTGGATTCATATATATTTCTGCACTATATTCAATGTTAAGCTCCATCGACATCTTTTGTTTTCAAGAAATATAAAAATGCATATATGAATATGATCACTCCTTGCATATAACGACACTGCCCAACGCTAAATCACTGCACGATTAACAACAATTCATTACAGTTGGACTATAGTGCTTTAAATACTCTTTATCCTTGCACAATCCATAAAAATATTACTATTTTAACTGTGTAGTCCTTGCTCCTTTTAATAAATCTAGTTCATTAAATGAAAGTGGTTGCTACTTAATTGAACGGTAGACTTTTGATCATATGAATTTTTATTACAAACACAATTTATTGAAGCCGATTTATGAAATGCTAAAGCTTTTCTGTGTTTATAAAAGTACACATGAAACAAAACGTAAAAATATCCCAAAGTTATTGAAAATAAAATACAAATCACAACAAAGTCGATTCATTCCATAGTTCCTTTTCAAGAGTTGTTTAATTTGATCTTTTCGTTGGTCCTCATACTTAAATCATTACATCTGATGGAAAATCAAAATCTTTCTCAAAGAAAAAGGAAAACGGTAAAATGCAAAAAATTATTAAACCATCCATTTAATTTTTTCCTGTCTTTCTGCTCAACGAAATTCATATCTGATAATGTTATTTTACCAAATTTTATATTTATTTAAAGATATGGACTTTGTGAAAAAGTTCTATGCTTATATTTCTCTACGTATGAGTGGTTAGTAAACATTTGCAGTTGTGTCAATATTAGTAAATTTTATGAAGAGTACTGCAGAAATTTGTCTCGAACAAGAGACAGTTGCCAGTTTATGCCAAATATTTTAGGCTTGACAACTACTAAGTTGTTAAATATGGAGAAATTTAATGCAAAATTTTTAATCGGTCATTAAAAGCATACTGCATAATCTTTTGCTATACAAGCTACTGTTATTCAATTCCTTATTTAAGTTAAGTTAATAATCTAGCATTTAGAAAACAGAATAAAAATTTTACATTAAACAAATAGATAAAATATTTCAATAGCCTTATAATACATAGTATTAGTGCTTTTCAGGCTTTTCTCATAGAATTCTTTCATTTATAAAAAAAATGTGAGAGGTGCTTGGGTGGAATAAATGGTGGCGGTATTTTGATTATTATAAAAAAAACACAAAAACTTGAAGATACTAAAAGACCATCCCATAAAGTCGGTAAAAACGTCGGTAACCCAACTCGTGAATAGAGTTGTCATTCATTCTCCTTCAGAAAAGTAAACTCGCTTCATTTTCTATTTATGTAGTGTGCAGTACGCGAAAAAATTAGAATACAAATCTTTTTATTTTCATTACACGCACTTACGAATATGACCCTTCACCAAATCTTCGATCTTCATATGCTTACACAGCTTAAGATGAACATAATTCATAATTGCTCATCTTGCAATCCTGAAAAATAATATCATTCTGATTGCAAGGTCCTTGTACTTGTAAGAATATACTATTCGAACATGTATATTAAGGTGGCGGCTTATTAATTTAAGAATCGACTTTTGGTCAACTGATTTTTTGTTTCTGACAAGGTTCGAAGTATATTTGAAACCGAACATAAAAGAGACTTGAAACAGGAAAAATATGACAAATTTCATTCTTTCCTCAGCATTATTTCGAGCACTTTTGACTAATTTGATCTTTTCGTAAGCATTCCTCACAAAAAATTATAGTAGCTGAAAAGTTTTTGAAACAATAATGTCTGAAAATATGGATTTAGTATATCCTTACTTTTCCCACACATTAACGACACTACAAGTTTAAAATCAGTGTAACCTAAACTATCAATAAATATGTATAAGTTAATCACGAATCCCTCAATTTGTAGAGTGGGCTGCCTCTTATTACAGCGTCGATGCAATTAAGAGAGTCCGGTCAAACATAGATATTTTATGGCGATATGTGGCTTGTTTTCTCCTTCCTCGGTGCTATACTTTTATTAAACACTCAACTCGTCTTCGAAGGTTTTTGTTAGTTATAAAATGAAATTGAACTGTATTCCTGGAAAAGAGATGAGCTTGGAGAGAGAACAATGGAAACGTCATGCAGTAAACATAATGACTGGAAGTGGTAGTTTAATGATTGGTATTAATATCAGCCACGCTATGTCAATGCAGTTTCAATAATTTTTAGCAGCAAAATAGAAGTTAAAGCTTTCAAATCAGTGACGCGACTTATGTTTATAGTTCAAAAACGATTTATCAAATTTAATCATTACAATTTTGTTTGATCATTAAATTTTCGTTCTGTAATCTTTTGTATTTCATCGTCAAAATTCTGTTTTATGTATGAAAACTTATACAAATATTACCTTAGTAAAAAGATCAGTAGATAAAAACATATCTAGAATTATATTAACTGGCTGACTGATAAGCGGGGTGGCTCGACTGGTTCGACCGATAACGGAGTTCAAGAACACTTATTCAAGCCATTCCATTGGTCAATAGCCAGATCAGTGGACGATCTGGAATTATCTCGACAGATTTAGCGGGGTGGCCGGAGTGATAAGGGAGTCCAACTGCTATCGTGTAAATGGTTCAGTTAAATTTTTGTCTTACTGTGATTGGTTTGAACGATTTCGACTGATAGCCAACTGAACTAACATAGTTGAGCTCACTGTCTGAATTGAATGTTTGATCGTTTCATAGTAATTTTGTAAAGCATGATAGAAACTAAACTACAATCAGATGGAATTCATGGAAATCTTCTACAAATTCATATATTGACATGAATGCTGCTGTCCAAACTGTGATTTTTTTCAAAAAGGTGAAAAACTTATGGATGAATTGTAAATGCTTGGCAAAGACGATCTCGCGAGCGACATTTCAGTCATTGATGTTCAAAAGCAAGCCAGCATTGTTTTGAGTTTTCTCAGCAGAAACTTACATCCAAAATCGTAAGTAAAGGAAAACTGAAGTGTATGCATAAATGTAAAACATCAAAGTCAATTTATGCGAGTATGTGATGCGATATATGTTAATATGGCGTATGGTAAGCACATTGATGCTTCTAAAGTTGTTGTTGCTGAAGGACATTTAGCTATGATTTTTTTAGTGTTTGGGGAATCGTGGCCGTTATATGGCAGCGAAATCCTACATTTCTGCAAATATATTTCAATGGACAAAAAACCTGTAGCCATAAGGCGCCATACTATTATTTACTTTATCATAAACAAATGTTTGGGGCTTTTCAGTTTATGGACATTGCTTATTCAATCATTGGGCAGTTATACTACACATTGTTTAAGATTTGAGAAAACTAACATTGACTACATGAAAAGATGTTTACTATAACCTGTGATTTTGAGTTTTTATCATCCATGAAGCATTTCTTTTGACAATTTGACTGGAATGGTATTAAACCTGAGTATTTCACATACATGAAATGTTGTCCCATGTCACATATTGTCTCCTTTTCTAACTAAACACCTCATGTAGAGATGTCATGGTGTGTTGATTAACAGATCATACCAGATTGCCTTCCATAAATTCCAAAATGCTATTGATGTATGAAAAGCATTTTCTATAAAGTAAAAATGTGTTCCTTTGTATGCAAATAAACCTTGAAATTTGGCAAAACAGCAAAGTATTTTTTATGATCACTAGGTAATTTTTCTGCTGATCAATATAATTTCTAAACTAAATTATTTCAGATTTACATTTAAACGAGCTTTGATCATATGAAAAGATATTTATCATAACCAGTAAGCATGACACATGAACCAATTTTAACAATTATGTAATTATATGATAAAAGACATGATGGTCACATTCTGTTTGTATAGGCAAATACAATGCTACTGGTGACTGCTATATAGTACACCTTGCATATACTTACAGAGGATAATAGTCTAGTGAAATGCCTAATAAACATTAATAGCCTTAACCTGTCCACATTTTCACTCATATAATTTTTGCTTAACCTTTGGCAGAAAAAAATTTTGAGTTTTTTCTCAAAAAGTGAATTTGCTGGCACTGTATGTGGAGATGGGTAAAGGGTTTCAATAAACTTGCATGGATTGAAGTCTGAGCTTTTCTACATCTATGAACTGTCTCTTGGAGCACCAAATTTCTAACTTAACTCATTACATAGAGGTTTGAATGGGGGTCTCTAGTGGGGTCTATGCCTGACAACTTGGTAGAAATTTTCAAAGACTTTATCTTTGTTGGAATAGCACTACTGTAAAAAAAATTTACGTTCCTAGACATGCTAATGAGCCATATGTTTGAAATGATAATGAGCCTAAATATTTGGCAAAACATTTAATTTTGGTTCACTTCATTTTTTTTTTGAAAAAACGTAAGCAAAATGTGTTGCTTTTACGTAAAAACGATGCCCACAAAATACATTTTGAATTGCTCTAAAACGCTGAAAATGGCATTTCCAAGGCTCTGAAATTCAAATTTTCCAGGGGAGAATGCCTCGGACTTCCCTAGTTGTGGAGCGCCTTCGGTATTCCATGACTGATGTTTGAAAAATCCTAGATCCGCCCCTTATAGACACCAGGTATATGATATATTATTATCTCTAAATTAGTGAAATGTTATAATTGAATTTTACAACTAACACCGAGTTTATAGCTGTTATGTTTCTTGAGCATAGGTTGTTTGATTAAATTGGCTTTTTCTATCTCATTGTTCTTTAGAGCGTGTTTTATATATCTGTTTTTAGTTTATAGGTATATTTTTGCATCATTCTTTTGGTTGACTCATGTAAATATGAATCCCGACTGCATCTAATTATTGCTTTGGCTCTCTCGTTTGTCTACAACCAAATGAATAACCCAGGTATAAAACAATTTGTATGTCAATGAACCACTTACATCTAGGACTTTAAATTTATTATGGCTAATTTGTTTGTATTATACTATGAAAATTGTATATATTCTTAGCCTACTGAAACATATTAAAAGCCATCGATAAGCTACATATCTCAAATATTCTGAGTTACTCCCAAAAGACAGAAGAAGTTGACAATAATATTATTGCCTTGGCCATTAATGTACCTATTGATGTAAAGGAATGCAAGACTTCGCACCTGTATCTTATCTCTAAAGAGCTGATTTTCTAGTTCAGTAATGTCGGTATACAGAATATGGTTAATGGTTACGATATTCTCAGCAACTCTGTGACAGTCACAAGTTACTTCAACACCTGTGGTCGAGACGTTAATGCAGAAAGCTTGATTGTCAAGAGTTACGCATGTTCAAGCTTATACTAATAATCGAAGTGTCCAACATTTAGCGCAAAAACGGCTGAATAAGTTTAATTGCTATTTATATTCATTATGCCTGTCAGCGAGATCAGTTACAAACTTCGTTTACGAACTTTATGACAAAATTGTGTCCTCCAAAGATTTATTAAGCAATATTTCTACTGATAGTAATCTTTTTGATACTTTTTCAAATTTTGTTGAATGAAATGCATTTTCGACACAAAATTTACCGATAAAGAAGCTTCATGCTTACATTGGTTTAAATTAATATAATACACTAGCGTTGTGTGTTACGTGTGTACATCTTATGACGTCACGAGCCATTTGTAGAAATGCGCATCTGATGGTGATCTTTAGCGTTAAATTAAACAACTAAATCAATATAATTTATGCTGAATCAAAAATGCTCAAATATACACCAAAATGTTCCTTAGAGTATATAATTTTCGTTTGGCCAAAAGAAGATTGGGTGAAATTTCGCCGGAGTTGCACTTTAAAGTCAAACTGCGTCGTATTTACCAAGAACTCATAATTTATTCAACTCACGTTGCAAACTCTTGAATTCATGCTGTGAATTCTTGATACGCTTCGTCTATCATCGTACGATAATGGCGACGCCGACAAAACAACAACTACGCAAACGAGATCTCGAGGAAAAACTAGGCTTAAACGAAAACAATATCATAAAATCAGGCTTCGATCAAGAAACAATCAGTATTGTTTGGGATATAGTGAACAAGAAATACGACGGTCTACGCGCTCATCCTTCGATCAATCAAGACGAGAACACTTGGCCTGACTGGGTGTTCTTTCTTGTCGTACATAACATTCATGCAGCAATATGGGCGATTGAGGAAAAGCATTTGAGAACAGTTGAAATGATTAATCAAGATTTTCTTACCCCTTACGACATTGCCAAATGTGTAAAGAGAAACTCCATCGTACATCGTTTTCACGTTGTAATACGAACAGACAGACGGTATTATGTACAAACAGACGAGTTGAATTTCCAAAGAAAGGATCCAGAATTCGATATATGCCTGTATGTTGGCCCGCTTAACTTATCTCTTTTAGGAATCCGAGTTATAATGGCAATGATTGCAAAACAGAACTATCTGTTGCTTCAGAGTGATTGTCTACAATATTGTAAGGATTTTGTGATGGTATATTTTGATTTGATGGAAGAAGAATTAAGTCCGGAGCACGTTAAAATTTTGGAGGGGCTGACAGTTACAACAAATGCATTGTCTGCTGCCAGTGAACGAAGCAGTCGACAAAATCCCACCGCAGGTTGGTCGCTGCGTTCTTTCCTGAACTCTACGGTTGTTCAAGTGTATGTTGGCATGATTCTTGCTGGAATGACGCTGTATTTTTTTAATCTTGCAGTTGGGAAGTAATCACTGATTTTACAAGCAATTTGAACTTTTGGATAGGTTTCTTATCCGTAGGTCGAAAAAGTTCCTTTAATTAGGCAATTTTGTCGGTGTTAGTCTTTCTGTAATCAATTGCAATAAGTGGACGAAACATTTTAAAATCAATTCCTCAGTAGATATAATAAAATTGAGATTTTTGCGCACATACGGTAATACAGAAGACATTTTTAGTGACACAGTTTTCAATATCACACTTTAATTTCATAAAGAAGAAATACTCAGATACAATCAACAAAGTAATAATAATGTAAAAATTTTGTCACGTATATGTATGCTCCCTTGAAAATTCAAGATAATTTTGTATGGTGATAATGTCGCCATTATAAAACTCTGCATTTATTCATTTATTTTATTTTGTGGTTGTTGCCTACATTGCACTTAATCTAGTCTAAACTAGATTACTTAATTTGAGCTGAAAACGCACAACATTGACAGTGGATTCTAATTACACAAACAATAGTTCTACACAAATATATATCCAGATAATAATTACTGCTACGATACACTATATACATTTTCACCACAATCTACAGATAATTTATAAGCATGTTAAATATAAAAACTACACGATATATATCATTAAAAACTACTATTGTATGTATATACATGCACTTCGTTCATATTGAGCTCAACATTTTGGCACATACTGTTCTCTTTGCTGACGTGCGTAACAAGAAAGTGTACTGCTGTTTCTAAAACAATTCTTTATGAGATAACAAAGAAAGCTCAGTGTTGCCTTATTCTCTTAAAAGTAAATTTTACTCTTAAAAAAATGCCATGATTTCCATTCCATATTGACTTCTACCTTCTTTGGCATCTTTTAAGATGCAATATCTACTATATACAATAATCACGTGGGTTCCTTACGCCTTTATAAACCCGGTCAACAGAATAATGCAGTAATTAGTTCGGAAAATATTTTTATAGTAAAATAGCTTCAAAAAGTCCGTTTCCCTCATAGAGCAATGAAACAGCGTCTTTGAATCCCGCCTTTCTATTTTTATTAATAAATTTTCATCCATGTTCATATAAACGTCTTTCTGCGTCAAACGACAAAATCACCAACAAAATCGCATTAACACTAAAATTTAACGAATAAAAAAACACAGCATCAGTATAATGGAATAGTTCAAATGTATAGAGACGGAAAAACATCACACCTTCATCTGCTTTAACGTTATAAAGTTATACCCTTCAATCTTCCAAGATTTTCTTTCCAACGCATTAGACTTCGCTAAAAACTACGACAAGACCACGAACGACGAAAAACACATCATCACACACGCAAAAAATTCCATGGCAAAAGAAAGGCGAAACTACATTTGATATTACAATGGGCAGCCTCGACGGCACTGAAAACTGTGAACTAGTGGGAAGCTAACTTTTCCATCAGCTACAACCATTTAACATCAATGCAGGACTTTACTGAGACGATAGACATGCAATCTTCAACGCTTAACCCAAAGACGTTGAGTCAACAGTTTTGCCACATCCTTAGCCAGAAGGGAGTACGCATTAGAATGGAAGCCAGCAAAAAAAACACAGACTTAGTGTGACTGCAAGTTAGACTGAATTTTTGGTCTCATGATAAGAATAATTAATTCAATGAATTAAATGAAGATAGAATATGCTTAGGTGCTGACAATAATGGTAAAAGAGTCATGTAAAGAATTGCATAAAGCCAACTTTGTACTGGTTCTTATAGTAATGCGACTGTAGCTTTGAATTCACAAAGCACAGCACATGTCCTGTTCTTTTTCCCCAGTTTTGTCAATTTTATTGATGGCAATCACTGTAGTCCTTGGCCTCAGATTGAAAATGTTGCCCCAAAAACATTGACTTTGGTAAACCGTACCAGAAGCACCGGGGGGTTGGGCAGGTGTTAGGGGTAGTACCTCTGTACCCTGGGCAGCCGCATGCATTTGTGCATGGCTCAGAGCATTGGCCCTCACCACCTGTCTAGCTCACATATGGCTCCAAGTAGTTGCTTGTGCACGGCAACGGCCATCCCCCGGTAACGTCCTCGGCTGGACGGCGAAACTATGTGAGCGGGCTGCACTCTGGATTCTCCAGGTGTAGGCGGGTGTCATCTCACCCAAGTGCATGAAGACCTTCCGGCAATGAAGGCCGACGACTCTACCATGTTAGCGAGTACCACCTGTGTCATGGTCGAAAAGTCGGCGACTAATCTGGCTCACCATTGCCTATGGCGATGGAAGGGTGGTCAGACACCCTGACAATACAAAAACAACAACTGTCTAAAAAGCCACAGGCACTATGGAGTCTTGTGACCATCTGACACCTGCTTCCAGCAAACCCCCACTGCCTTGTGGGAAAGGTCTTTGCTAAGACTAAAGGCTAAAGGAAGGTGAACCTCAAACAACTCACTACGGAGATGGGACCCCGTAAAGGCAACCATGTTCAGTCAACGACAACTGGATTGGCAGTCCCTGCAGTGGAGTATTGTTGCCAGCACGTCCTGACTTGTTCTTGCCCGCTGGAGAACAGCAGTGCCCCACCGAGAGAGTGTCCTGGTAATGCAAAGCCAGTGCCACTTAACATTTTGCATGCAGTTCTATGGAAATGAATAAGGAAGCTAGACATGATACCGGCTCGAACGTCGCCCGGGTTACCAAGGTTCGCGCTGGTCCGCTCCCGCTCCGGCGACCAGTGAGAAGTAAGCTAGGACGCAAGGTGGACCGCAAGGAGGACATCAAGAAACATCTGAGACTCGCAGGATGGAACGTGAGGACGCTGCTTGATCGACCTGGATCTAAACGACCGGAAAGGCAAACAGCGCTAGCAGCAAGGGAGTTGTCAAGGTACAGCATCGACGTGGCAGCACTGAGTGAAACCCGGCTGGCTCTAAGTGGCAGCTTGGTTGACCAAGGATACACCTTTTTCTGGAGTGGAAGAGAGGAGAGGGAGAAAGAGAGGCTGGAGTTGGTTTTGCTATAAGAAACCAAATTGCCCAGAAGTTGGAACAAGAACCGGTAGCTGTAAGCGACAGAATAATCACTCTACGCCTTCCTCTGCAGGGGACGGTGTGGGCTACTTTTGTTAGTGTCTACGCCCCGACCATGACTAACCCTGATGAGATAAAGGAAGATTTCTATCAGAAGTTGAGGGAAACTATCAGAGAAGTGCCCAGCACCGATAAGCTCATTATAGCCGGAGACTTAAATGCCAGAGTTGGAGATGAAGTGGAAAACTGGCCTGGAGTATTGGGACATTATGGCGTGGGCAAGTGCAACACCAATGGAGAACTCCTCCTAGCCTTGTGCTCTGAATATGGTCTGGTGATAACCAACACTGTTTTCAAGCATAAGCACACCCACAAGACGACATGGATGCACCCGAGGTCTAAGCACTGGCACCTCATCGACTACGTGATCACTAGGCAGAGAGACCAGAGGGACATAGTCAACACCAGAGCATTTAGAGGGGCTGATTGCAACACAGATCATAACATGGTGCTGTCCAAAATCGCCTTCTCACTAAGGAAACAAGTCAAGAAAACTGGAGGACAGCACAGGTACAATCTCAACGTGGCCAGACTGAAGTGTGACAATGTGCGCAAAGACTTTCAGAGAAGTATGACAACATCACTACAGGAGAGCACAACAGGAGACTCGGATGTTGTAGGGAAGTGGGAGACGTTAAGGGATACAGTATTTAATACAGCAAAAGAAATCCTAGGCAAACCGAAACGCAAGCACCAGGACTGGTTTGACGAAACAGACGAGGAGCTAAACAGACTATTAGAGGAGAGGAACCAGGCAAAAGCAAGACAGCTGACTGTAAACACCAGGTCTACCAGGGCAAACCTTGCATCAGCACGCAGCAAACTACAGAAGTACACCCGACAGAAGAAGTCTCAGTGGTGGGAGACCAAAGCAGAGGAACTGCAGCACGCCGCAGCAGAAAACGACATGAAGTCCTTCTATGGAGGTCTTAGAGAAGTATATGGCCCACAAAGAGAGGTACTGCCCAACTGCTCGCTCTTGATGGAGAGACTGTGTTGACAGACAACAAGAAGATACTGGAAAGATTTGCTCAGCACTTCGACCAGTTGTTAAATCTGCCTGGAAACGTGGATAGTGCTGCTCTTGCGAGCATCACCCAACGTCCAACAGTCCACGTACTGGATGAGCCCCCAAAGATGGATGAACTTCTGAAGGCGATCGCAGCAACTAAGGAAAGCAAAGCTCCTGGATGTTGTGGGATACCTGCAGAAGTATGGAAGTATGGTGGTACAACACTCAAAGAGAGGCTGCTAGATGTGATCGGAGATATCTGGATAGGAGAGAAGATTCCACAAGATTGGAAGGACGCGAATATAGTCCCTATATTCAAGAAAGGCAGTCGTAAAGAGTGCGGCAACTATCGCGGCATTTCTCTACTCTCAATCGCTGGGAAGGTGATGGCTCGAATACTCCTCAATCGTCTGAACGAAATGATAAGTCCCAGAGTAATTCCTGAGACCCAGAGTGGATTTCGGAGTGGGCGGAGTACCATGGATATGATATTCAGCCTACGACAGGTTCAGGAGAAATGCACTGAACAGAACATGCCCCTCTATGCAGTTTTCATAGACTTTACTAAGGCCTTTGACACTGTCCCTAGAGGCGGCTTGTGGGCAGTACTGAAAAGTTTGGCTGTACGGATAAGATTATCAATCTCGTGAAAGCGTTTCACGAAGGAATGCAAGCTAAAGTCACTCGTGGGAGCGACTGCTCTGAGGGATTCGCTGTCTCAACAGGTGTAAAGCAAGGGTGTGTGCTGGCTCCGACACTGTTCTCATTCTACCTGGCTGCCATGCTGGAGGTTGCCTTCGAGGACACAAGGGAAGGTATCTACATCCAGACTAGACATGATGGGAACCTATTCAACGCCTCACACTTCAAAGCTAAGACACGCACAACACGTCAGCTTGTCAGAGATATGCTTTTTGCAGACGACTGTGCTCTGGTTGCTCACAGTGCAGCAGAGATGCAGGCATTGGTGGACAAATTTGCACAAGCTGCCGCTATGTTTAGCCTCAAGATAAACATCAAAAAGACTGAGTGCCTCTACCAGCCAGTAAAGCTTCTACTCCCTCCCCCAAAACCCTGTGCAATCACCATAGACGGACAGCCTCTTGTCCAGACCACAGACTTCAACTACCTGGGTAGTACAATCTCCAGCAATGCTAAGATTGAAAAGGAGCTGAGGAACAGAATGGGAAGGGCGAGTGCAGCGTTCAGTCAACTAAACGATCGGCTATGGCAAAATAAGCATGTCTCGACCAGAGTTAAAGCCAAGGTCTATCAGGCGGTGGTGCTGACAACACTCCTTTATGGAGCGGAGGCATGGACAATCTACAGGCTTCAAGTGAAGAAACTGAGTGCGTATATGATGAGACAACTGCGGGACATTCTGAAGATATCATGGCGGGACAAGATCGCAAATGCTAAGATTCTCCGTCTGACTGACCTGCCACACATGGCTGACATGCTGATTCAAAAGAATTTAAGATGGATTGGTCATGTCCATCGTATGGAGAGATCTCGTTTACCACGCCAGCTATTGTACAGTCAACTAGTAGAAGGAAACGAAACCAAGGCCGACCTCGACTCAG